TTTGGCTTTTGAAATCCTTACATTCAACTTGTCCATACTCTTTTATCTATAAACTTTCTATTGGTTCCAAAAAATTCTTAGCAATTCTATCTTCTAAGACAAAGAGGGGGGCTGGAGCAATAGCAAAGCGGGTATGGCATTTGCTTTTCACACGGCCGACCCGGGTTCGATTCCCAGCGTCCCATATGGTCCCCCGTGCATCGCCAGTAGTAATTCCTGAGTGAAGAGCCAGGAGTAACCCCTGTGCATTGTTGGGTGTGACCCAAAAAGGAAAAAAATAAAGACAAAGAGGGTCCTGACTCTCTTCTATTATCTTCTTCTGGAACTCTGGCTCGACAATCTCACTTTATGGGTCATGTTTCTAAATACATCATTTGACCACACTTCTCTTGGCGGAGAGGGGCAGTCCTGTTTTTGCTAACAGATCTAGGAAGCAACTACATGTCCAAATCGGGAAAGAATTTACCCTCACATCAAGGCTGGCCTGAGCCGTGATCCTGAATAATTCTGTGGATGAAATCACAGCTAAGTAGGCTCTAACAAAAAGATATCTTAGTCAACTTCAGAGGGCAAAACTGAAGTGCACATATTCTCAACTGATCCCTCGGGTGACCAGCACCTCAAATATCTCTACAACCTACATATCAAAAGGGAGACTTAGGTGAGGCACAAAAGTAGTCATGTCATCTTGACTGTGGCTACATTCTCTATTACTGGATGCTGTGTAATCAGCAGTGTCCTTCCAGTTCAGTTGTTCAAATCAGGAACAACCAACCAGCTGTGTGACCTTGAGTCTACTAAATCCTTTACCTCAATTTCCTCAACTAGGAAACAGGACAATAAGAGGGTTGTAACTGAATGAAGAAAAGTAGGTAAAGAGTCTAACACAGTGACTGACAGCATCAATATAAATTATAAAAAAACGATTTCTGCAGGCGGAAGGAACTCTTAGGAGTGCCTGGGAGCTCCTCCTTGCATATATTACCGTGGTGGTTGTAGCAGGTGCCAGGGATCAAAATTGAGGCTTTGAGCTTACCACACCTACACTCCAACCCTATGAGCGATCTCCTCAGCCCCAACGGAGACGTGATTTAATAGGTGTAATCTGCTTAGAATTGGTGCACACAACAGAAGATTCATGATCCTTAATACATGCTTACCATTTATGAACTCAGGCTTATTAGGAGAATCAGACCTCAGGCTTATAAGGATTTTGTGCTTCCACAAAAAAGCAGGGGTAAAGAAGACTATGAATTTATTTGAAAGAAGTAATTTTTAAAAGATGTTCCTAAAATCACAATCCTATCAATTAATTTCCCAACATCAAAAGAATACTGTACAAAACCAGTATGGTAGGTAGAACAATGGTAGAACACATCATACTTTGCATGTCAAAACTTGAATGCATCTCTGGCAATACACATACATACACACAGTCATGGTCACAGTCATGGTCACAGTCATGGTCCTCTCGTTGTTCATCGATTTGCTCGAGCGGGCCCAGTAACGTCTCCATCGTGACACTTGTTGTTACTGTGTTTGGCATATTGAGTACGTCACGGGGAGCTTGCCAGGCTTTGCCGTGCACACACACAAATACACACACTCACATATTCTCTCTCCCACACACATGCACACACTTTAGGTAATATAAGATTTCATAGATTTCCTCACCTTCACCAAAATGTTCATTTCTTACTAAAGTATTTTAGTGTAAAAAAATATTTTAGTGTAAAAATCGGACTGTGTTTAGTCCTGGGAGCGACTTGTGAGAATATGACCTTAGGTGATCTCTCTGGACCTCAGCTCCCTCTTTGTCTAAGAGATAGTACAAATCTCCCTCTGACCTCAAAGGATTTTTGGCAGACTCAAATAACAATGTATTTGAAAAGTGCGCCTTTAAATTACAGGCTGCTACAAGGTATTAACCATGATACCATCTTGTTTGTGGACTCCTGGGACACTGACACACCCTAAGAAAATTTAAATAACAGGAAAATTTCAGCCCAGACTAATGAACCATATCACCCCCGGCTTCAACCTTTCATTCCCTGAGTGCAGGGTAAACCACTGTAAATGACTGATAGGAAGGAAGGGAGCCGCAATATGACCCATTTGGGGATATCTGCCAACAGTCAATCTCCATGCTGTCACTTCCCCCTCCCCAGCCTTCACAATCTTCCAGAGCCTTCTGGAGTCACTCAGTGCTGTTACATAGTGGGTATGCTGCATGAACTGAATTAAACAACTGTTTAAGTAAACTTTTAATCTTGAAATCACTTGTCCATCCTTATATCATTCCTACATTTTGAAACAGGACACACTGAATTGGAGTGGGGGAAGGGCTTCCCAAGCAGTATTCGGAGGTCCACAGGGTCACTTCCAGCAGTTCTCAACCAGGGCCTGAGGATATGGTGTTCAGGCCCTGCCAGAGACCACCAGGGTCACACCTAGCAAGATCTGGGGGTGGAGGGTTTTGGGTGAGGGGGTGGGGTGGATGGTGCCTGATGGTGGAGACTGAACTGGATCAGGCACATATGTGCCCCGACCTCTGTACTATGATCCAGACCCCAACACATTTAATATTAAGAAAATTCAGGCATAAATTATTAGGCTCTATAACTAGTCTTCCTGAGTTTATTTTGGGTCCAAAGAAGGAGTTCGTTCCTCTCTAGTTCTGGGATCCAGGATAAATCATTTAACTTCCTCACTTAATTACCAACCTGGAGACTGGAGATAATATAATTTCCACTAAGACAGGGTTTTCTTAGTGGAAAAATCAGACTCCCTTTAGGAGTGACCTTGATGCTGAAAACCTACACAACAAGTAATAATCTTTATAAGGGAGGAAAAAAAAAAAACAAAGGAGATGGGATGGAGCTTTAAAAAAAAAATCCTGCCGGGGCCTGAGAGAGTAGTGTACAGGGATTAAAGCTCTCGCTGAATCCCTGGCACCACATATGATTTCCCCAGCACTGCCAAGGGTCACTCCTGAGCACAGAGCCAGGAATAGCCCCTGAGAATCACCGGGCGTGGTACAAACCCTCCCTTTGCCTGAATGTCCCGCAAAAGTTAGTGCCATCGTAAAGTATTAGGAACAAATCAAATTTCTTAAGTCAAATATGATCTCCTGCCAACATTTTAAAGCATTTTAAGCACTAGGAGCACCAATTCACACTTCACCTGTCATGTTTCTAAACACATCATCTGACTCTACTGCATCATTCTGTTTTCAGATATAAAAAAAAAGTTTCTATCACAAGAAACCAAAGTAGCAAATAACCAATCCAAGTAAATAATAGTAACAGCAAATGCAAGTTCCTAAGTATAAATGTTTTTCTCCATACACAGCCTTTTTCGGCTTTCTTAATAAGAAATTGAGTGACATCATATTTTTAAAAATGTAAGATTCTTCTTTTCAACAATGTAGTGTTCTGTGATACTATCCATGTTGCCTCAAGTAGAGTTTAACGGATCGACACGATCATTTTTTTCTCTTCCTTGTATTTACCTGCTGAAGCACTTTCTTAGTTCCCAGCCCGTGTCACCATAAAGGAGAAGGCTCTGTTTCTTTTTTAAGAACCCTGTAAAGCTTACAAAAGTTTATCATTGCCAGCAGTCTTGTGAAACGAACAATTAGAGGCATCAATCCGCTTCCTCCTCAGCTCACGCATCAAGCAAATGATGCATTCATCACTCACAAACAGTAATCAGGATTCTTGTTCCCTGAATCAAACGTCAGCATAATTCCCAGTTCCCGCAGCTTTCTGTCAGAAATGAGCAACTGACTGCTTGCTTCTGTGCCTCCCAGGCTCTGGGGCATGAATTGGAGGAGTTGGTGACAATGACTCAGCTGGAAGACAGGAGAGGAAGATCAGCTTATCCTCCCAGGGGAGGGAAAGAAAAAAAAAATCTTTCTTTCTGACTTTGGGAGAGAGACCCTAGAAAACGGTCCAACTTCAAGTTTGAAATCTGCAAGTCGGAAGCGCTGGAGGAGCCGGGGGATCGCTCGTCCCGCTGCTGCCTGTGACAGTGTTTCCTGAGGCATGAAGCCTCTGAGGCCGCGCTGGGGGAGACGACACGAGTCCAGTCACCGGGAAGCGTCCAGGTCCCCTCGCTGCGTTCGTCCGTCTCTTCAGAGCAAGGGGCGGCGTGTGGCTAGGACCCGGCGTCCTCGGACCCGTCGCTGTCCAGGCGCGTCCGCGGTGCTCACGGCCCTTGCTCAGCCCCTCAGCGTCCGTCCCGCGACGGTCGGTCGGCGTCATTCCTGTCAGAGCAGCGCGTCCCTCGCCGGGCGACGGTCCCCGCGGCGCTTTCTTTCCTCAGAGTCCAGAACGGACTCTGAAAACGGACCCAGAAAACACGCGTGGGGCAAAATCGGGGACATGGGGGGGGCGGGGGTGTCGCCTCACAGTGGCGACGCGTCCGACGACGCAGGTCCACGCGCGCCCAGGGGGGCTCTCGCGGGCGAGCGACGTGGGGGGCGCCTCCGCCTGACTGAAAAAAAAAATTTCTGACTGAAAAAAAAACATTTCTGACTGAAAAAAAAAATCTCTTCAAGCGGTTCTGGGGGGGGGGGGGGGGAAGAGTCGCGGCGTCGCCCGTCCGGGTGGGCGTGAGGCGCTGTCGGGCGCGCGTCAGCCGCGGGGGGCGGCGGCGGGTGGGGTCCCCCGGGGGCCCCCCAGATATTCTCCACGGACGGACCGGACCGGAGAGGAGAAGAAGGAAGCGGCGCCTGAGGGGACGACCCGCGCGCGCAGAAGGTTCCGGAAAGTCCCGCCAGGCCCCCGCGTCCAGTCAGGTGCGCGCGACTTTCTCGTGGTTTTTGCGTTTTTTGGCTTTTTTCCTGTCAGACTCGGGGTCCGCGTCGCCGCCGGCCCTGAGGGGGAGACGCGCGGCGGCTCCTCAGCTCAGCTCAGCGCGCGCGCGTGTGGGGGCAGCGCCGCGACCCCGCGACCCCCGCGTGACCCCGCGACCCCCGCGCGACCCCGCGCGCCCACCTGAGCTCCAGCCGGTCCAGGCTCTCGAGCAGGCGGCCCGCGCGGTCGGCCATGGACGACGAGCGGCAGAAGCGGCCCTCGTTGGCCCTCGCGCTGATCCTCGCCTGCGCCATGTGCGACGCGTCCGCGGCCGCCCGGGGAGGGGGAGGGGGCCGGGGGGCGGGGGGCGGGCGGGGGGCGTCGCCCACGCCCGAGCGTCCCCGCCCGCCTCCCTCCCGCTGACGCGCCGCGTGGCCAAACAAGGGCACGAGCGCCCGCGGGGTGCTGGGGGTGGGGGCGGGGCCGGGGTGGGGGCGGGGCGGCCGCGGGCTCCTCGGACCCCTCATCCCCCCGCCACCCGTCGCCCCCCCACCCCCACCCCCACCCCCACCGCGCACGGCGGGCTCAGCCGAACCCGAAAACGCTTCAGGGCTCCGGGAGGGGGAGGGGGAGGGGAAGGGAGAAGGGGGAGGGGGCGGGGAAGGGCTCCTCGAGCCCCTCCCCCACACACGCACCCCCCCAGCCCGCACTCCCCTGGCCACCTGGGGGTCGAGCCGCGAAGTCTTCCTCCTCCCCATCCCCTGCGATGACCTTCCCCACCCCCACCCCCAACCCACCCCCCAATTTTTCTGGTTGGCATCAGGCCGTCAGGGGTCTCTGGGGCCCTTTCACACCCAGTTTCAGTCACCCCCCAGGTCACAGCCCGGTGAGACTCTAGGGCCAGAGAATAGGAGCCCGGGGGCACCACCAGGAGGAGTCTCCCTAACAGGCGTCTCCTCTGCTGGCAACTCAGTCCAGAGCTCATCCTGTCTCTCACGGCCAAGAGATTTTTTTTTTGGCCAGGGCATGAGTTTAACGCTGGATCATCTTTTAATCAGAGATCAAAGCCCGGTTGCGTACCGGAACGGAGACGAGGCCCCGAGCAGAAACGGACGCCGTGAGCTCCCCACCGAACCGACTCCCAAGCACTAAGGAACTATTTGGGTGGGAATTACATCATCATCCAAACTGGGAAGCTGAAGACATTCTGCGAATTGTTTGCGTCTGTCAAGTCGTTTTTCCTTTTTTCAGGTCCACAAGTAAATCCCGTCGGCTCTAATTTCAGAACACAGCCACGTTTCCCCCAACCCACTGCCTTTTATTCCAGAGGAAACCCCCGTCAGTTCTGCAGCACCCTCCAATCTGGACGTCTTGCTTCTAGTCTTGCCCTTCCTGCACAAGCTCGAAACAGGGACTCAGGTGCAAAATGAGGCAGACCACAACACTCACTCTCAGGAACTTTCACTGATTCAAAGACGTCATCTTCTGTTACTCTCCGACTTCATCCCATCTCACCTCCTTTCCTTGCTTTCAAATGAATCTGGGGGGAGGGGCCGTATGGCTATCTGAATGGGGAGGTGGCTAGCCTTGCGTGGGCCAACGTGGGTTCCATGCCCAGCACCACAGATGGTCCACCACGCATGCCAGGAATGATCTTTGAGCAGAGCCAGACGCCGAGGATCACTGGGTGTGGCCTCCAAACCAAAATAAATAGATATTTCAGAGCGGGTAGGGCACTTGCTGTGCATGCAGCCAGCCCAGCTTCCATCCCAGCATCCCATATGGTTCCTTGAGACCCGCCAGCACTAAGTTCTGAGCATCCAGGTGTGGCTCAAGAACCAAAACAAATTAAAACAGCTGTATTGTTCACCCAAAAGGAGAGAGAGAACAAAAGGGAATGCCCTGCCACAGAGGCAGGGTGGGATGGGGGGGATGGGGGGTGGGAGGGATACTGGGACCCGTGGTGGTGGGAAATGGGCACTGGTGGAGGGATGGGTACCCGATCATTGTAGAACTGAAACCCAAGCACAAAAATTTGTAAGTCTACAACTGTACCTCATGGTGTCTCACTAAAAAAAAAAAAAAAAAAAAAAAAAAAAAAACCAAAACCTGTATTGTAGAAAAAGCTTCCAATTAAACACACACACACATACATTTCAAGGGGCTGAAGAGATACTGCAGGTATTCAGGCACTTGGCTTGCATGCAACTGACAGGACTTGCCCCGAGCGCCAACAGGTGTTGGTCCAACATCCTTCACCCCCTTTAAAAAATGAGTATATTAAGTTCTTTCTTGGGGGGGAGGGCGTAGCGGGGAGGGTCTGGCTCTGTAGTTTGAAGTGATCCTAAACAAGTGCAAAGAAGGAGAGCCTGACTTGTACTGTTTTTCTGCTAAGTAGCTCATTTTCAGCCTCCACCGGATACTCTCTCCCTGCACCATCTGCATGGACATGTATCCACTCCCTCAACTTCCCCAGGTCTTTGCTTACAGGATCCTTCCTACCTACCCTATTAAAAACTGCCTGCTTCTTCCCCACCCACTCCAAATAGCATTCCCTCGGGCTCAAAGAGTTGGAGAATTTGCTTTACACACAGGAACCCCAGGCCCGATCCCCAACATTGCCTGGTCCCCAAGGGCCCCAAAGCTCCCAGAATGGACTCCTCGGAGAGACCACCTGGCACACAAGAAAGCATTTCCTCATCCGTACACAGTTTATCTTTCCCGTTCCTTCATTAGTCATTCACCGTTAGCTCTACTTTATTACCTAAGATCATGAAAACCTTCTCCCTGTGTGTTCCAGAGATCCAGTGCGGACTTTGTTTTATTCAACTATGTAGAACCATCACTGGCACATGGTAAATACACAATAAATACTTTTGTGTGGAAGAACCATTAAAGAAGGTAAATGATGTGAAGATAAACACCTATTTTAGTCAATGCTGGAAACACTTATTTTGTTAAAATTATGTAACTCATAGCCTTCTATAACGCCATCCACTGATTACAGCTTATATCTGAATTAATTTCAAATTATTAAATAACTTCAAAGGATTTTCGTTAAGGAGCAGAAATATAATCAGTGACATTGAGCAAACCAATTGCCGTCTTAAGGGTTCTGATGAAATATCCCATTCCTTTCCAGGGAAAACCTTCACTCACTCTACTGTACACGCCACAAAAACTTAACAGAACCCCGGCACAGTTCACACCTGTGTGTGCCACTCACTGCTCCTAAAAGGCTGTTAGATCCTCTTCCCCCATAGCTGCTTCCGCACTCTTCAATCCAGAACATCTTTCTGTGCATTAACGAGTAAGCTCCTGCAGATGTCTTGATGATTCAGTTCTACAACTACCTCCCCTACAGCTTGGCTCGACCTTTTTAACACACAAATTTCAAAGCACAAAGTCTTCATTTTCAAAAATGGTAAATTATTAAGCTGGCAATATTTACTTTTTTTAAAAAAATGCAAACAAATAGGGCAGAAATGACCTCTTGAGAATGAAAAACCAGCAAATTTTCACTGTGAATTGAAAAAAGACTACAGGAGTAACAAAAATGCAGAACTTTATTTCACACCAAAATACCCAGAAATACATTTCTAGTAATGATTTTTCTCCCCTTAAAAATTGAACTTGTAGAAAATGTTGTTTGGTAATTACAAAAAAAATATAAAGAGATGACATTTCTGGTCAACAACAAGAAACAAGCACACGAAACAGTATGAGAAGCTCATCTTAATCTGATTATGTGATTTTGTGTATGCATGGCAAGCCAGGGATCAAACCTAGAAACACACACATGAGAGATGTGTTCTAATTCCTCAGCCACACTCCCACCCTAATGACGCAATTATGTTCTACCAATTACACAAAGGGGTTCAGTCTTTGAAATTTAAATATGTAAAACCCAGTGCTGGATACTGAAAACTGATGAATAACTAAAATGAAGATAAATTTCAAATGAAATAAAAACTTTGAAGTGTCACGAAGATTATTCCTGAGTGGACACTCAATAATATTTCTGGAGGTTATATACTTATACAAATACATAAAAAGGACGCATTATTAAAAATAAGTTTAATTCTATGCAAATACTTTTATATAAACCCCTTTAAGCTGTAAATAATACAAGTCACATCAAAATTTAAGCAGGTAAAAAACAGAAAATTATTTTTAATTATTTCAAAAAATAACAGGTTGTGTCCTTTTATTCCAGAAATGTTCTACTCAAAAAGCAGTACACTGTAGAACACTGTGATATATTTTTTAAATCTGTTTTTATCATTCTTTTTCACTATTTTCTTCTAAATAGCCATGGTGTATATTACTGCCACATAGAATTTATAGAAATATCGAGCTGGTATGGCTTTATTTACATTCATTCTCACTCTGAAAAAACAAAACCGAAACAGAAGCATCTGTACCATACAAATAGCATGAAAGATCTGATACAATTAAGAAAACAAGTAAGCTATAGTCAAGAGCTTTTCTATTTTCTGAAAAACTTTAAGCTAAATATAAATTTAGTTATCTTAGAAACTGTTTACATTTTAGAATACACAATTTATATTTGTAGGTATTCTATTCACCTGCACATTTTTCTGAAAGAGCTTTAAATACAAAGCAAGTACCATATTTTGGTTATGGGAACGCCAAAAAACCAAGTTTCAAATACATCTGTACTAGCAGATTTCTGGGCTCCTTTAGAAAACAAACTCAAACATTCATTATCCTGAGAATCTTCAAGGCCACTTGATGTTGTGTGGTAATATCTGTAATTACATTTCCTCAAGACTTCTTCTAATAGCTTCTTCTAACTCCACATCTGCATTAAAACAGAATTTTAATATTTAGGGCAGAAAATTAAGAAATGCACTTATCTAATTTTAACAACACCTGTCTCTTTAAGAAGGAAAGGAAAACCAAAATAGAGACACAAGGCAATATGGCAATTTCTCCGCCACAAAATTTGAGTATTTTGAAATAGGAGAATCTGAACATATTATCAAACTGAAATTCAATATAATGAGGATAATGTTTCGAGGAATTTTTAAGTTATTTCTCTTTAGGGATACAGAAAGCAGACAAACTTTTACAATTACTGTCAGGTAATTAACAAGTTTACAATATAAAAAGTCTAAGCACTTATTTCCTAAAAGACTGGAGGTAATGTGCAAAATAATGAAACGGCAAGAGCCCACAAGCTATTAAAAATGTAGCTTTAAGCTTAATAGCATCTACAGTAAAAGCAAACTCTTGACTATATAATGCCATCGGAGAAGCACACGTACATATACGCATGTACTTCTTTAACAAATACTTATTAAATACCAACTGTGTATCAAGCACAGGAATACAATGAGCAAGACAGGCGAGATCACGGGGATTTCTCTATTCTTTCCTGAAAATTATGTTAAAGCTAGAACAGAGGAATCAGCTATCAAGGATTCGTGGTCTTCACTAGCTTCTCACAACAGATTTATCTCATCTGTTTGCACAATCTTGGAGCCTACTTGGTTATCATGCACCAGCTACTCACCTAAAACGTAGTTGTATCTTTCTCTGAACTGGAGACATTAGTGATAGGCTGTAATTAAAAATCCTTCAAGTCCTAGTCTTTTTAAGTGTAGGCTGTGACCCCAAATCGGGTCACCTAACTTGTAAAGTATTTCAGGGGCTAGAAAGACAGTACAGCAGGTAGCGTGCTTGCCTTACACATGGCCAACCCACATCCTATCTCTGGCACCCCATATGGTCCCCTGAGCCACCTCCAAGAGTGATCCCTGAGTGCAGAAGCAGGAGTAAGCCCTGAACACCACTATGTGTGGTCGTGGTCACAAAACAAAAACTTATTTTAAAATTAAATGCCTTGGGGCAGAGAGCGCTAAGGGCTGATCATATGCTTCACACGTAGAAGGGCCGGGTTTGATTCCCAGATCACATGATGGTCCCCATGAGTAAACCCTGAGTAGAGTCACGAGTTCCCTGAACACTAACAGGTCTATTTCAAAATTAATTAAAAATAAATTTCATGGGTCCGGAGCAATAGTACAATGTGTAGGGTGCTTGCCTTGCATGAGGTCCACCAGGATCTGATCTTCTGCATCCCATGTGGTTCCCTGAGCACCACCAGGAGTAATTCCTGAGTGCAAAGCCAAGAGTAACTCCTTAGCATCACTGGGTATAGCCCAAAAACAAACCAGAAAATAGTAATAAAGTTCGTTACAATTATCTCTAATTGTTCTTACTTGTCTATTTTATTAATCTATATACCCAGGATTACATGAAAATTCTCAGGTGAAAAGTAGAAAAAGTGGCAGAAGCCATGCTACACACTAGTATATACTGTATATCATAGTAAAGCTAGATTCTAGGTTAGTGAATTGTGCTCAACTAAATACAAGGGGATGAATTAATATAAAAATAAATGAACATACCGGAAGAACAATACAGACACAGAAATGACAGTTCAGAAAAATCTCGCATATGTGAAACTTGATTTATGACAAAGATAGCACCGCAGAACAGCGGGGAAATGTGATCATTAATAAATGGTAGAAGGTCAACTGACAGACCAGGTAAAGAGGGAAAAAAACATTTTTCCTATGTTAAGGAATATCGACGACTTTTTTTCTGTATTTCGTAAAGATCCAAGGGAAAAGAATAAAGCTTACAGAAGATAGCACAGGAAGTATTTTTTTTGACTTTGGAACCACCAACAGTTGCTGGGTATCTGAACCCGGGCCAGGCTGCGTGCAAGGCAAGAGCTCTACCCCCTCTCTCTCTCCGGGCCCACAAAAAAACCACCTTCCTACGGCAAGAGGTTAAATAGGGTTCAGGGCTGAAGAGAAAGCACAGCAGTAGGGTGCCCGGCCAGCTTCAAGCCCTGGCACTCCCGGTGATCCCCAGAGCCTGTCAGGAGGAGTCTGAGCTTAGAGCCAGGTGTGGCTCAAAAAACCAAAAAAAATCTTGGGGTGCATGACTGTGAATGCGACATCTCACACTCTATATCACTGATGCACCAGGAGTAGCACACATTGGATAGGAAGGAAGGTAGAAAGAAACCAATCTCAATGAAAAAAGGATTGGCATGCAAGGCTCGACCTGTAACATGTTAGTCATCTCTTATACAAGGGCTAAGTGGTCCCAGGGTGTGATACAACAATCTTCACATTTTTTCTTCTAAGGAAACCTTTTTTGATCATTTTTAGAGAATCATTCATAACAAGCAATACAAAATAAATTATTTAGGTCCTGCTACTGGGGCAGGCTTGGGTGGTGGTTAGGAAAATTCGAAATAATGGGGGTGGGATTGGTGTTGGAATATTGAATGAAATAAATTATTATGAACAACCTTATAAAAATAAAATTAAAAAAAAACAAGAAAAAGGCAAGCACCAGAAGAAAGTATGAGATGGAATTTACACAGAGCTTGCCAAAGTAGAACATGAATAAAGACATAATCAAAAAAAATCAAGAAATTTGAAAAGATGCTGACAAAAATCAGAATGGACAATAAACATGAAATCAATTGGATAAATTAGCCAAATTTAATCAATCTATTATTTACATTAATGAATAAAAAATACTAAGTTAGTTTTAACTATGTATATTAAAACCACAAAGAAATATTAGCCCAGGGGCAGTCGAAATTTAAAACACAGTATTTTCAATGACTAATGAAGATACAGATGAACAGGGACTCCCATTCAAGACAGGAACAAAAGTTTCTGGGACAACTGATTTGGAAAAGCAATTTGGTACTACCTCCCAAAGTCAAACAAGAAGCAATTCCACTTGAAATGAATTTTCTGAGAAATGACAGCATTTACTAACCTTTGAGAAGGAATGAAGGGGAAATAACAAAAAGGAAATGAGGACAATAGGAGTTGAATTGTCACCTTTCTTCCCACCGACCCTTGCCGAAAGATGTGGTTCCAGTGAACACGGCGGAGTTTGAAAAGACTGACTTTGCAGGGCAGTTATAAATGTACACATCAGTGCACCAAGAGACAAGAGAAGGCAGACAGTAACCTTATTTGCAACAACCAGAGTGCGTACCAAAAGTTTAGAAACAGCAGGTGAATTATATTCCAGCATGTTATACAGATTGAGAATGAACAAACAGAACCAAAGTTACAAGCTAGCAATGAATAAAAAATACTAAATTCGTTTTAGCTCTGTATATTTGTCCCAGATGAATCTGCAAAACAATGTTGTCTGAAGGTGAACAGACCCACACAAATACATACGCCGATATAATAGACACTGACTCTATGTGGCAATTTAAGTTAAAACTTAAGAGACACGTCTTAAGTTCAGCTAAGCCACATTTTCAAGAGCTAAGTAACTACACACAATCTATCAGAAACCATCATAAGCAGATAGGCATCTTCATGATTACAGGAAATTCTTTTTTTGGTTGTCGCTGGGGAGCAGTGAAATCTGGCTGTGTTCGGACAGAGCCCACTTGTGGCTCAGGTGTCATTTCTGGTGGTTCTCAGGGCACGATATGTGATACCAGGAAATAAACCATGTCCGCCACATGCAAGAGATGAGGGATGGGCCCCGTCACAGCAAATTCTCTTGCATAGTGATGGTGCACATGAACTCATTTGGGTAAAGTTCAAAATCAAGCCAATTAAACTTATCTTCTGAGACATGACCGTACTTACTAATCTTTGAGAAGGAACAAAGGAGAAATGACAAAAAGGAAACGAGGGTACTTATACACTTGCCAGGGGTTGAATCGGCACCCTCCTCCCACCGACCCTCGCCAAAAGATGTGGTTCCAGTGAACGTGACTCAGTTTGAAAAGACTGTCTCTGCAGTGCAGTCGTAAGACTACTGTTTCCTCTATGTGGTATAGAAAATAGACGATATAGGATGTTTAGCCTGGGTAGTCAGAGAACAGTACAGAACAAAGAACGAGATGTACCATGGTACGGGGAGAGGGTCCCAAGGAAATCTGTTCTGCCTTTTGCCACCGTGAGTGAGAGTTGTGCTGGGAGGAAAGAGATCTGAAGAATTCAAGTTTTTTTTGAGTTTTGCTATCAGATCTGGACGATACCATCAGGTTTGCACAGAGCCAACAAAATCACCCACTACTCTCCCAGCCAAATGGCCCATCTTAATTTCCTTTAATCATAGGGAGACGTGAAGTAGTAGTTCTAATAAGCTGAAAGTGTCTTCATGTAATGCCAAGTGCCGTGTTTGATGCCGATGAAATAAAGACAACTTAATCATGATACTACTCGAGGAGCCCATTATTTTGTAGGAATGACAGACACAAAATCCACTTGGTACGGTATAAAGGGAGACTGAAGGAGGCGGACAGAAAATCAAGGAGAAGCCAATGCTCTCAATAACAACGTTAATTCTCAGTAGTTAATTCTCACAAGGGAAGAGAGTTGAGTTAGTTTTTATTAGGTACATAAAGGGGGAAAGGTACAGGGGAAAAGTGCAGAAGAGACCGTACTCCTTAGTTTACACATATCACTGTGGGCGTCTCACATCTACTTTAGTATTAGGAGATTAAAAAAACCACACACACATAACAACTTTCTGAATTTTCTTGGGATTAGAACACTTTGTCCCTGCCGCCTATGACAACTCGTCAAATGTTAATATTTTTAGAATCTTCTAACATTCTTTGCCAAATGAAAGAATCACAAAAAGTGCACAGACTGCCCAAATCTAAAACTGCGTGGCTTTTTAGAAAGCATAGATAATAAAATGCTAGAAATTCTGGTAACATGTCCAGTTGTACATATCTCACGTGCTCTGGGGTGGGAACCCACCAAACTGTGAAGGCTTGCTTCCAAACACGCATTCCTGGAACACTGCCAGAGCGATCCCTGAGCACAGAGCCAGGAGGAAGCCCCGAGAACAGCTGGGTGTGGCCCAGGAGCAAAACAGACCAAACCCAAAAAAGTCGTACTTTGTCTTGTATTTTCCATGGGACTAGTCGTAGGCGGAAAATGGAGGCTGCAAAGTTTGTCTCAAACTCACTCTGAAGTTCTCCCATTCGTCTAACTCATCATTAAGTGACTACCGGGCTCCCGGCTGGACCATTATAGACCGTAATGGGAGGGCAAGTTGCTCACAACGCTTACTCGCAATAAGGCTTTCTGTGAACAGTGAATTTTAGCTAGTAGGAAGGCTAGCGTTTTATGCTCCATTAAGTAGATGAAACCAATTCCACGACCAGACCCAAATTCTCAAACTCTGAAGAGCACAAAGTTTCTGGACGCTCTGAGTCAAACGAACTGAATTACATGTGGCAACGAGCATACGCACAGAAAACTAGTAACTGGGTAATTCTGTTTGTGAATATTTGGCCGGACTTGTCGCCCCACTTTCTGGCCTCTGTATTCCTATTCTCAAATCTTACATGGGATATACATTAAGCCTCATATTATACTTTAATGTCCAAAAAGCACAACATAAAAGTTTCAATTTCTTCAGAGAAGCTTAAAGTATTTTCTAAAATCCGTTGTCTCAATTCTCCCGATTGGTTGTTAAGAGAGAGCCTGTTACAAAAAATCAAAGTAAAAAATGAGTATATGCAAAACTAAATGATGCAGCCACTAACGATTCTACATAAATTAAAAAAAAGGTCTATAACAAATGGAAGCAAATATTTTTTTTCTTTAGGAGGAAAGATGAATTTTAATATGACTAGTCTCTTAATATTTAGATATGAGCTGGCTTTTACAGTTCATCTACATAACTTTAACACTAAAATAAGTAAAATTAAAAAAAAACACAACATTCTCCTAGCGATGGGGCTTGCGAACTCTTCTGGTAAGGTCTGAGAAGATAATTAAAAAGGCAGTTGTGTGGTGGTGTCGGTGGTGGTGTGTGTATGTCTGTGTCTATACTGCTTGTGCCCTAGCTATTTTGCCTTGCTCCTGTAGTGTGAGACAAGAGCACACTCAATACTTATGACTGTGATTGTGTTCCAATAAAACTTTACCAAATGAGGTGGTACACTAAATTGTTTCAAGGTCTATCGTTGGCTGATACTTTCCTAGCCTATTAACTTAGTATTAACTTTAAGTCATCTTACATGAGAAAATGTAAACTATCCCTGAGAAGTAACAACCCTTGTAAGAAGCAGAAGGGAGTTTAGGGGACAAAGAGTAAAAAACCGGAAACAAACCAACCAACCCTTGCAGATATACAAGTCAAGAAATAAGAAGATTGGGCCGGAACAATGGAACAGCAGATTGGGTATTTGCCTCGTCAACCCGGGTTCGATCTCTAGCAACCCGCCTGGTCCCCCGAGCACTGTCAGGAATAAGTTCTGAATGCAGAGCCAGGAGGAAGCCCTGAGTGTCAGCAGGCATGGCTCCCCTCTGCCTCAGAGGAAACGATAATAACTCGTTAAGTTACCTTCTGTGGACATGAATTCTTCGCCTACCGAAGTGTTTTTGATACCCAGGTTATCATCACTGTCACATTCTGTAAGGAAGAATCAAGAAATGTAAATGCATTTCTGTGAAAGTGGCTATAATGACATATATTCTCAAGCTATGATTTTCAATGATTTTCCCACACATTAGATAAATACCACAGTTCCAGATTGTTAATGCTTACAAAATATTACTACTTAGACTAGAAGCGATAGCACAGCGGGTAGGGTGTCTGCCTTGCACGCAGCCAACATGGCCAACCCGAGTTCGATTCCTCCGCCCCTCTCGGAGAGCCCAGCAAGCTACCGAGAGTATTCGATATGCCAGACACAGTAACAACAAAGTCTCCAATGGAGACGTTACTGGGCCCGCTCGAGCAAATCGACGATCAATGGGAGGGCCTTTACCTTTACCTTTAGACTAGAGGAAAAAAAAATGAAGTAACTCAATTCTCGGTTTTCTCTATTTTGAAACATGATTTGAGAAAGTTATTTTAACCTATCTAATAAGAAAATGTAAAATCCCAACACGAAAACGTAAAGACCCGTATCTTTATTTAGATCTAGCAGACAGTCCAAACTTTCACTTGCATAAGAAACATGATGTATTTTTAATGACCACAGATAAAATTATCCTTTAATTTGTAAAACTTACTTTTTATGGACATGACTGTTTTTAATAATGCTTCTTACTGGCGCAAATGCACTTAATTGAGATTTATTATGCTGAGACATTATAAAAGTGAAATGACTCTCTAGGTATTGCAAGACACTTAAAATTGAACCCATGACACTATCAGTAATATCTGGCTTATCATTTTAAGTATACACATACGTATCGTAGTAACTGAATTACGGTTTCAATAACTTTTAATAACAAGTCATATCTATTAGGAGAAATACATAAAAGCTTTAAACATGTTTTTAAATTTTGAAGACTCAATAATATGTAAAAACCAATACTTCCTTTACATTCTTTTTTCTTTTTTTTTTTTTGCTTTTTGGGTCACACCTGGCGATGCACAGGGGTCACTCCTGGCTCTGCACTCAGGAATTATCCCTGGCGGTGCTCAGGGGACCCTATGGGATGCTGGGAATCGAACCCAGGTCGGCCGCGTGCAAGGCAAGCACCCTACCCGCTGTGCTATCTCTCCAGCCCCTTTTTCATTTTTTAATATTTTACATTTTATTAAGATTTCCCATATTATTTTGCGGCAAAAATTAAGATCATCCTTTGTCATTCTAGAAGAATTCTAAAAAAGCTCTAAAAATCTATATTATTTCAGTGTTTTAAGAAAATAAAACCTTGTAGTTACAATTTAAAAGAAAAATAAAATTAGGTTCTAAAACTTAGGAACAAAGAGAAAACATCTAAGTATTTTTGTGTTACAATTAAAGTTCAGGCCAATTTAAAGCGGCAGGTCTTAACTAGTACACACAATCCAGTCACTGAATACAAGGTCTAAGGCAAAACTGCAGGTTGAGTCACAGGCATCGAGTTAGTCATCAGTTACAAGAATGTGGGGAGGACTTTAGTGCTGCTTTAGTCAGTTCCTCCTGTAGACTAGAAAATCTGGCTGTTCTTTCCCATTTTCAACTAGGCTATGGAAAACTGTACCATATAAATTTTAGAATGCCAAACCTATTGGTCCTATAGACTTACAGTCTCATTAGCAAGCTGAGGGAAACTTCAGCAGGCTTTGTTTGTCTTTCTTTTTATGTAATGCCTATTTGATAGACATAGGCTGTCCATGGGATCTAACAACGGTTCTCATTCCCTTGACCCTGAAAGAGCCCCCAATACGCCAGCGTTGGGAAAGACGAGTCAGGAGAGGCTGCTAAAATCTCAGGGCTAGAACGAATGGAGACGTTACTGGCGTCTGCTCAAGTAAATCGATGAACGAGACGACAGTGATACAGTGACAGGCTGTTTCAATAATCTAAACTTTTCACAGGATGGGTGAATTTTATGTTCACTGAGAGTTTAAAAATTGTATAACTGACATAGATTTAATGACATCAATCATACTTAATGCTTTCATTTATTTGAAAATAAAAGGCTCTGCCTAGTCCCTGAATAGGACCGAGCAAGTAGCATATTCAGATTTTTAAAAATATCTTGAGTCACAGTAAAATCTGTGCTCACTTTCATTTTACTGATTCATACCCACCTTCAATTAAGTTCATCCTCACAATAACTTAAAAAAATATATTAAAATTCTAGGTAGTATTATTACCTTTAGAACTGTAGATGTTTTAGTTAGGAACTACCAATAACTGAATAAAAAAAAAATCATGTTTTGAAATAGAAAATCCAGGGACGAGGATGTATCTCAGCGGTAGAATATATGCCTTACATATATGAAGTCATGGGTTTGATCCCACATACTGAATTAAAAGAAAATCCTTCAGCTGGAGATAGGACAGAGGTGAGGTGTTTGCCTTGCATACGAACGGCCACATTCAACTTCCGGCACTACATACCGTCCGTCCCCGAAGCACTGCCAGGAACGACCCGAGAACACAGCCAGCAGGAAGCCTTGAGCACTGCTGGCCGTGGCCACTTCCCTCCCCAACTCACAAAGAAAACGGTCAATGTTCTGTACGTCAGCGACAAGAAAGATACAGTCAAGTTCTACTCAATAAACAGGTACCAAAGAGCTCAAAAGGGCTTTTATACAAAGGCACTGATCATGACGAATGAAACGATGAAAATAGTTTCTCAGAAATTCGATCACGTGTATTGCTTTGCAAAAGGCTGGGTTATGGCACCGACCTCCAAATCCTTAAAATGTAAGGTTAGTTTGGTTGAACTAAGTAGCATCGTGGCACTGGCTTGCGAACCCAGGAAGTCACCACACGGGGGAACTTAAAAGCGGTGGTGGATTCCGTTCACATGTCTTAGCATGAGCTCATCCAACTGAGCTTGTCCTCCCAGGTCCAAGAAAAGAGAGCTCATCTGGCTTTGAGCGAAAAAACAAAAAAAAAATATCCTAGGGAACTTGACACAGTCCTTACTTCCAATAAACTTGCTTTTTAAAAAAGTGTGTGAACCCACCATCAAAGTTTTTCATCTTCTGCATCTCCTCCTCCTCTTCCTCAAAAAGGATCTTCCTAGAGATACAATTCCTGGGGCCGCGATTCAAACGCTAGAACACATGCTTAGCACGTGCAAAGCCCAGCATCTAACCCCCAGCCCAGGACACAGTTTCCTTACAAAAACTCTTATTTGGTGTCTTTACAGAAGACACCAAAGAACATCTAGTGATGTTATTAGAATGCAGCTGAATGACTCTCTCATTGTCTTCATTCTTCAAGGAACAAATCACCCCCAAAAACTTGCACTGTATGAGACTGGTGATCAGGTCGGTCGTTCAAAGTCTCAGGCTTCAGGCTGGGAGGCAATAAAGCAGTCAGCTCACGTGCCTCGCATGTGACCAAACCCAGTTCAATCCCTGAAACCTCTGGGCATCTTGAGGGTGCAGTCTTGAATGCCCTGACCGTGTGGCCTGGTAATGCCTATAGCACTGCCAGGCCAAAGCAGCACTGCAACCTCAAGCCCTAACACTGACCCACCACCATCCTGACGGGCTGAGCATCCCAGGGAGTGGCCCCTGGGTCCGCTGAGCACTGCTTGGGGCTCCTTCCTCCTTCTTCCTGATGTTCCCTTCCCACAAAGAAAAATCAGCATCAGCGAGAGAAGATGAAGAGAAATACACCATGTCTGTGCGCCCACAGGTAACTTTAGACATTCTAGTCAATAGTCTCATCAAATAAAGAGGGGTATCTAAAACATCATCATACAGTATAAAAAGACTGAAAACTATCTGGAACAAGATCTTTACGCATGCTTAAACATCCTCAACTACTACAGATATAATTAGCATGGTGGCTGGCACACAGGAAGTCCTCGATAAATGAAAGTCCCCTTTCTCTTCTTTCAAAGAGCATTTTAAGGGACTGAAAAGACAGTAGTGTATAGGGCTCATCTTGCACGTGGCTGCAAGGGTCTAATCCCGTTTTTCCATATGGTCCCAAGTACGGCCAGGAGTATATTCCTTAGTGCAGAGCCGGGAGTAACCCCTGAGCATCACCGGGTGTGACCCAAAAGCCAAAGTCAAAGAAAAACCACTTTTTTAAGGGGCGGGAGTGAGAATATAGTGGATAGGGCACTTGCCTTGCACAAGGCCCACCGGGTTCAATTCCTGGCATCACATATAGTCCCCGGGAATCATTCCTGAATGCAGAGCCAGTAGTAACCCCTGGGCATCACAGGATGTGGCCCCCAAACAAACAAAAAAATTATAAAAATTAATGAGTGTAATATAAAATAGAATTAATGAAGAGCAAGGGATGCCCAAAGTGTCAATTAAGGACAGATTAATATTTTAAATATCTACAAAGATTTATGCATACCAAAATGTTGGTATCTGAAGCCCTACTACTTAGGACAATCTGCAGAGCACAAACTCTGACACATTCAAATTTCAAATATTCCTAATGCTGACTTTGCTACAAAAAAACCCCCAATTTATCCTAACTTAAAAAGCGGAGCCCTGCCTACCAGAGTATCTGTAGTACCCCGCTTCTTATAGTTTCCTAGGCTACATCAGGAGCAACTCTGAGCACTGAACCAACGCAGACCCTGAGCACCACAGGTGTGGCTGAAAGAAATGAAACAAAGAAAATCCAAAAAGGAAGAAAGATCTCTTTTGGTTCTAATAAAGAAACATTTCTATGAAGGTAGAAATGGAAGACAGAAGATCAAGCTTCTTTCTTTTGTATTAAGTGATGGTGATCTCAAAAACCTGGCGACCAGAAAGAAAGAAAGAAAAAAAACACAACCTCATCGAAAAAAAAAAAAGCCCTGGCTCAAGTATCTAAAAAAATTTATCATTTTTCTTCATTAATTATTAGAAAAATATAAATCAAAACCATTATGAGATACCACGGCACACTCTTTAACATGGTTATTATAATTTATATATATTATAATATATATATTATATATCATACAACAAAAACAAGCAAAAAACCCTAGAATATAAAACACTGGTAAAAACTGGAATTCCGTGTTCTGTTGGTGAGACTGTAAAATAGTAATCCTGTGGGAAACAATAGTAACTTCTCAAAAGATTACAAATAGAAGTACCACATGATCTAATAAAGTTTTTGAATATATACTTAAAAGAAATATATACTTCAAGATCTTTTAGCAAGATCTTGAAGATACATATGTGTGTGTGTGTGTGTGTGTGTGTGTGTGTGTGTGTGTGTGTGTATAGCACTGAAGCACCGTTGTTCATTGATTTGCTCGAGCGGGCCCAGTAACGTCTCCATTGGAGACTTTGTTGTTACTGCGTTTGGCATATCGAATACGTCACGGGGAGCTTGCCAGGCTTTGACGTGCGGGCAAGATACTCTTGGTAGCTTGCCAGGCTCTCCGAGAGGGGCGGAGGAATCGAATTCGGGTCGGCCAGGTCGGCTGCATGCAAGCCTTACCCACTGTGCTATTGTTCCAGCCCATATATGTATGTGTGTGTGTATGTGTGTGTGTGTGTATTCACCCATAGTATAGCAGTATTATTCACAATAGCTAAAACCTGATTGCAAGCTAAGTGTCCAATGACATGAAAATGGATTAGCAAAATGGGAAATATACATACAATGGAATATTACTCAATCATATGACAGGGGGAAATTCTGATAGATGCCACGCAAAGACAGGGTAAGTAAAACCAAGACAAAAGTCAGGCCGTATGATTTTACCTCCAGGGAATACTCAGCACAGTGAAATTTACAGAGTGTCAACTAGTGGCGATGGGGTCGGGTCACGGAACCAGAAGACGGGAAGTCACTGCTTCAGGGGCCTGGCGTTCGCAGTGTTTTGAGTCTTGCAAGGCAAGGCCGGAGAGTGGAGACAGCTACACAACAAAGTGCACGCGGCCAAGAACACAGAACGGAAAGCTCTGGAACGGTGAAGCTGACAAATCTTTTTTGATCTGGGTCCTAGCCAGCATTCTCACGGCCACTCTGATGGTGCTTGGGGAACCATGCAGTGCTGGGGGTTGAACCCAGGCCCAGGCAGGAGACCAATGGAGCTATCTTGCTGGGCCACGATTATCAATCTTTTTTTTTTCTTTTCTGGGGTCACACTCGGCGATGCACAGGGGTTCCTCCTGGCTCTGCACTCAGGAATTACTTCTGGTGGTGCTCAGGGGACCATATGGGATGCTGAAAACTGAACCCAGGTCGGCTGTGTGCAAGGCAAACGCCCTACCCACTGTGCTCCAGCCCCAAGATAATTTTATGTACATCTTACTACAATACACTGTCCACTGTCACTGTCCTCCCATTACTCATCGATTTGCTCAAGCGGGCCCAGTAACGTCTCCATTGTGAGACTTCTTGTTACTGGGTCTGGCAGGGGCGAGATACTCTCGGTAGCTTGCCAGGCTCTCCGAGAGGGGCGGAGGAATCGAACCTGGCTCAGCTGGGCTGGCTGTGCGCAAGGCAAACGCCCTACCGCTATGCTATCACTTACTACAATTAAAAAAAGAAAATGAAAAAGAAGAGTTAAAAAAAGAAGAGCCAGGGAAAAGCATTCCTTTTTTTTAAGTTTTAAATTTATCGTCAGGCAGGGGAGTTGTGACACATCCAGCAATGCTCTGGGGCTGCTCCTGGCTCAGTGCATAGGGGTCACTGCTGGTGGTGTTGGGGGAACATCTCTAGTGCCTGGGATCGGACCGTGCAAGAGCCTCAGCCAAGTACTTACAGCTCTTCTCCCCTAAAACGCAGTATTTCGTAAAAAGACTAAAAAACAAATGAATGTAGTACTTAAGAATCATACTTTTCTTTTTATGGTGGTATGGAAAAACAGCGACTTTTCACTGTGTACCAGCAATGCTTTGTCTACTCTGCCAGACACTAAACTAATAAGGCGTTTCTGACGGCCTAATACAGATATAAAGTGGAGCTCAGAAAGTCAAATAATTTGACTGAAATTACATAGTTAGGAAGTAGCAGTGTTAGTATTTGAACCAAAGCCCCTTTCCTTCTTTATGTACTGAACAACTGCTGTACTTGATAAAAATTCAGACTAAAGTACACACGTGTACCCAAAGAACGTAAGTTCAAAAAAGCACCGATTATGAATGGAGAAAATTATTTAGAGCGTAAGAGGCTTTCAGAGGGGAACAAGCATCATGTAACAACCTACAAATTTTACCCTGTTATAATATACCCACAGGAACACGCTTGTATGCAATTCTTACTCCAAAACAAGTTTAAACGAAGGCAAATCCTTAGTAAGTTTTGTATTCTAAACGGTAAGAGAAATTCTCCCCCAAAAGGCACCAACAAAAGAGAAGAGGGTTGCCCAGGGTGGCAAAGGTAAAAATGTAAGTATTTTATAGGTTTTTAAGTAACTATTCGTAAGAATCAGGGGAAAGTATGGCCAAAAATAAAAGAAAAAAGAAAAAATATTTTTTAAGTCAGATTTAAAAAAATCAAGTGGGGTGATCATAAAAATAACAGACAGGAAGATAAAATTCAATACTTAGGAAAGATGTGAATATGCAAGAATTAATTTCTATTTAATGACTCCTAACTTTGTGGCTGTGAACAGATCCACTGCAAGTGACGAGAAAAAAAATCTTCAGAATATTTCAACTTTTAAGAATATTTGGCCTTGGGGCTGGAGCAACAGCACAGCAGGTAGGGCGTTTGCCTTGCACACAGCCAACCCGGGTTCGATTCCCAGCATTCCATATGGTCCCCTGAACACCGCCAGGAGTAATTCCTGAGTGTATGAACCGGGAGTAACTCCTGTGCATTGCCGGGTGTGACCCAAAAAAGCAAAAAAGAAAAGAAAAGAAAACTTGCTAGGGGCAAACACACCTGGATGTAAAAACGCAGCCAGTTTTTCGCGAAGGCCACCCAGGGACACCATCACATTTTATCATGTTGCTTATGCCTGCCGTCCAAGACACTTAAATTATTCTGTTATCTCTTCGACCCAGACTTAGTTCAGAAATTACGGAGGAGGAGAATCCCCAGAATTAAATGAATTCTACCTTTCTTAAATAGCTGTGATAAGGGAAACTGTACATGAGCGTCCCCTTTCAGTGCACAACCAAAGAGAAGGGGCCAGAGAGAGAGTGAAGCAGGCAGGACACTTGGCCTTGCACACGGCTAACCTGGGTTCGATCCCCAGCATCCCACATGGTGCCCCAAACCCTGCCACGGGTAGTTTCTGAACGCAGAGCCAGGGATAACCAAACCCATGATCCTCCTACACACCCCGTAGAAAACCCCAAATGAAAAACAGCCAATCAAAGAAAGTCCCAAAGACGGAGGAGCTAGCTCAAAGACCTAGGGCGCATGTTTTACATGCTGAAGGCCTGGCTGGATCCCTACCACCTCATGGTTCCATCAGCACTGCTAGGACAGACCCTCAAGGACTGAGCACCACTGGGTGTTACCACAAAATCAGAAGGAGGGGAAAAAAAAAAGTAAAACTCCCCAGTGATTGGCAAGAAAGTTACTTCTCCTTACAAGGAATTACAGTCCTTCTGGCTTTTAGTTTGCCCCTGTCTTGCGTGTCAAAATGGTCTATTATTTGGGTCTGGTACTGTCATTTCGTGATGTAATGCTTTCTGAAAAACTGGGGATAAATTTGGAATTCCGAGAAGTGAAGGTCTGGATTCTAAATTCTGCAAAACCGTACTAACATAGTGGAAACGGCAGGTATCTCTCTGCAGCACAGATATGCATATTATCTACCAGACTTAAAAGGAAAAAAAAAAGATACCCAAGGCCAGGATATGGTTGCAGTAGGAAAAGCATCCACCCTGCACGTGCAGGCACTTTGTGGCTTCACAAACGTCACAGGGGACAGCCCGAGCCCCAGCAGGCTAAACACTGCCGGGAGGGGTCCCCGCAGAAGAGTCAAGAAAACAGAGAGGTTCCTCCCACTTGTGTAACAGGACAGGAAAGACAAATGAATAGACAGGCAGACAGATAGAGAAATGCCCCGAGCAGGATGGTTTAGCGAGCAGGCAACAATTCACCAGTGGGCAGCAGTTTATTGGTGTTTCTCAGCAGTGAAATCTTCTCCTTTTTGGCGGTTTGCACTGTGACTGCAGCTGCATACCTTTGGTGGTGTCAGATATGCTATTCAACAAGGCACACATCATGTCTCCCTCTAGGTGGTGAGGGTTCAGGATATGTGCTGGCCGCTGAGTTTTCTTAAACTGATTCTCCAGCTCCAGAAAACCTTGATCTCCTGAGAGGATGGTGAAAGGAATTTGCTTCGGCAGCTGTTCATCTAAACGGCCAGCCTAAACGGAAATATAGGACGTTAGGTCCATAAAAAACATTAAGCGCTTGCATTTTAAAGTTTTGCATTCTAATTCCATTTATAACTCAGAGTGAACACATATCTACGAAGCATGTTTAGCTGTTCCCTATAAGCCCGTTAGAAATGAAACGTTACAAAAATTTTATCAACTACAAAATATTAGATGAGCTATTTGATGTCACACCAAAAAGAAACCCTCACACAAAGCTAGGAGAAGAGACACTTCTTTTTTCATCTAAATATTAGAAATCAGGGACCAGACCAATAGAACATCAAGTAGGACATTTGCCTTGCACGTGGCCAATCTGGGCTCAATTTCCTGGCATCCCACATGGTCCCCAAGCACTGCCAGGAGTAATTCCTGAGTGCACAGCCAGAAGAAAGAAACCCGTGAGCATTGCTGGGTGTGACCCAAAATGAAAAAAAAAAAAAAAAGAAAAAGACATTTCTAGAGAAAGGCCGTGTGCATGACTTAATACTGGCACCAGATAAATGGAAAAAGAAATGTAGTTTTAAATTGAAGCAGCAGAGACTCAGTCTCGGAAGGAAGCAACATGCTATAGAGACGTCCCCTCACCTGGTGCCAGGCTGACTTCATCCGGGAGCCCTGAAGGGGGACAGGTGTGTCCCTCTGCCTGCCCCAAGTGAACCCTGGCGGCTGCACACCTCCAGAACCCATTTGCCACCGTGCACGGGGCTGACCTTCACAGGCTCATCCAGAGCCCTCCGCCCCCATGCATGAATCTGCTGAAAAACCCAGGTATGCGGTAACTGTGACTGAAATCCCGGGCTCACCCAGAATCGGGAATGGACCCCCTCCTCCCATGTCCCCGTGGTCTGGGTTCCTGGCAGTCACACCCACGAACTGCCTCTGGGCGTCATTTCAGCACATGAATAGCCATGATCCAGAGACCCACCAATAAATCTCGGAAGAGAGCAAAACGCTGCAGAGATGCCTTCAGACCCCCAAAGCAGTATCCAGATAAAAATTTAACTCCAGCTCTAGCTCCATAGTTAAAATTTTAGAATTCCTGCAGTGATTATCTCATACTCCTCACCATTGATATACCAGGTGTAAGGTAAAGGCAACCAATCTTGATTAAAAAAAAGAATTTACATATATATATATATATTACGGTCCTCCCCTTGTTCATCGATTTGCTCGAGCGGGCCCAGTAACGTCTCCATCATGAGACTTGTTGTTACTGTGTTTGGCATCTCGAGTACATCACAGGTAGCTTGCCAGGCTCTGCCGTGCGGGCGAGATCCTCTCGGTAGCTTGCCGGGCTCTCCGAGAGGGGCAGAGGAATCGAACTCGGGTCGGTCATGTTGGCCGCTTGTAAGGCCAACACCCTACCGCTGTGCTATCGCTCCAGCCCACATATATATATATACACACACACACATATATATAAGCACACAAGGCTCAGCCTGTAACAATATGTTAATGGTCTTATACAAGGGCTTAAGAGCTCCTTCAAGGAAACCTTTTTGAATCATTTTTAGTGGATTATTCATAACAAGCAATACTCTAAGTGTTTATTCTATCAGCCCTGTAGCACTGTCCTCCCACTGTTCATCGATTTGCTCGAGCAGGCCCAGTAACGTCTCCATTGTGAGACTTGTTGTTACTGTGTTTGGCATATCGAATACGTCACGGGGAGCTTGTCAGGCTCTGCTGTGTGGGCAAGATACTCTTGGTAGCTAGCCGGGCTCTCCAAGATGGGCAGAGGAACTGAACCTGGCTCGGCTGGGCCGGCTGTGCACAAGGCAAACGCCCTCCCGCTGTGCTATCGCTCCAGCCCAACAAGCAATACAAAATAAATTATTTAGCATCTGCCTTTGGGACAGGCTTGGGTGGTGGTTGGTAAAATCTAAGATAATGATAATGGGAAGGTCTGATAATGGTTCTAATGGTGGTGGGACTGGTGTTGAAATATTGAATGTAATTATTGTGAACTTTATGAAAATGAAATTTTAAAAAATTTAAGCAGTAGTCAAATTTACTGGGTAAATTTTTGGCATTGGCCTGACATGTATCTTTAAACAGAGAATTTAAATTGGATGTCATCACTGATTCAAATGTGTAAAGAGAAATTCATTGGTTATTATTACTTAGATTTCAACCAAAAAAAATAAATTATACATCACCCACACTGTTTCAATATTAATATAAAAATATTCTAATAAAAAGTTTTAAAGGAATTTGTGAAAAAAATTAACGGGGTCTGGAGCTGATTGATAGCACAGCAGGTAAGGCATTTGCCTTGCACACGGCAGACCCGGGTTCGATCCCATAGGGTCCCTCAAGTACCGCCAGGAGTAATTCCTGAGTGTATGAACCAGGAGTAACCCCTATGCATCGCTGGATGTGACCCCCCAAAAAAATGAAAAAAAAATTAACTGGGTCTTGGGTTGGCAGTTTTTCTAGGTGTCAAGCAGAGAGAAGTAAATGCCAATCCTACCTACATCAAAAGTGACTGTCAAAGTGCCTCCTAACATAAACACCCAGGAATGGCTGAGATCAGTACCAGGAATTTTTCTCCATGACTTGAAGGCCAGCCACACGTGCTAGGGGAAAAGGAAGCTCAGATAGAGAAGAGAGCACCAAATAAAGGGTGTTGGGAGGATCCTCCCAGGATGGGAGATGCATGCTGAAAGTAGACTATAGACCGAACATGATTGCCACTCAAGGCCTCTCTTGCAAAACACAGTACCCAAAAGAAGAGAGGGAGAGCAAGGGGGAATGCCCTGCCACAGAGGCAGGGTGGGACAGGGAGGATGGGGGGTGGGAGGGATGCTTGGACCCGTGGTGGTGGAGGATGGGCGCTGGTGGAGGGATGGGTACTCGATCATTGTATAACTGAAACCCAAGCACAAAAATTTATAAGTCTATAACTGTACCTCATGGTGTTTCACTAATAAAAAAAAATGATAAAAAAAAGACAGTGCAGGATATGCAAAAACTTTTATAGTGAAGGGATTAACATGACTGTGTAAGTCAACAATAAAGTATTAACAATAAATAATTTTTTTTATGTAAAGGTAAAGGCCCTCCCGTTGATCGTCGATTTGCTCGAGCGGGCCCAGTAACGTCTCCATTGGAGACTTTGTTGTTACTGTGTCTGGCATATCGAATACTCTCGGTAGCTTGCCGGGCTCTCCGAGAGGGGCGGAGGAATCGAACTCGGGTCGGCCATGTTGGCCGCGTGTAAGGCGAACGCCCTACCCGCTGTGCTATTGCTCCAGCCAAAATGATGGCACCTTATAATTTGTGGATATGGTTTTAATTATTTCTACATTGTGAGAGGAAGAGTCAAAATTATCAGTGATTAATCCTGACACTAAGAGGGTTTCTAACTCTAAATAAACTTGGCATTTTCTTGCAAAAAAAAAAAAAAACCAAAAAAACAAAAACAAAAAAAAAAGTGCCTCCTAATTCCAAGCCAGTGAAAATGTAAAAATATTTTTGCATGTATCAAGGACAGTGTTTTCTCTCAGTCCTCTATCCCTTAAGTAGTTGAGGGTCACACTACGCTTAGCTGAAGAGTCTGCCAGGAACTGGGAAGAAAGTAGCAAATAAGGAGGTGATGTCATTCTGCCCCCACAGTAGAACCTGGCATGTAAAAATAAGAGTACTGGAGAAATGACCCACAGCGTCATTATAAGTCGGGGGGGAAAACCCAAAAGAGCTCTCAGATTCACATTCGGACGTTTCCTGTTTCGAAGTGAGGGTCACACCCAGTGACGCGGTGTAGTGAAGGCTCCCAGCTGCACTGGGGAGGTCACGTGGTCCTGGAGCCCAAACTCAAGGCAGGTGTTCTACCACCTGCGCAGGCTACCTCCAAGGCCCCTCACCTGAGATTCTTCTCTTCTGCTATGCTGTGGTTTTGAGGCCACACCTGGCCGTGCTCGGGTGTTGTATACTAACCCTGTTTTAGGCTTCATCAGTGATCTGCCCCTTTTCCGCCTCCCAGAGAAGCTTACAGTGCTCTTACGAGCATCCCAATTCCGTGAATTTATCTTGAACCTTTCCTTTGCTCTTTCCCTCTCATGGTCACAGTTCCCCAAGCCCGTCTCGGTTACTTACAAGCCAAAACTTTCTGGTAATTCTGGACTGTGTATTTGGAGGGAATTACCTGCTTTTCCAATTTCCCCTAGATCCTTTTCCTATTTCACTATAAAGCAATGCTCTCTGCTTAAACACAGAAAAACCTTAATGCTCTGCTCCTCATATTTGGGAGTTGACTGGCTCTGAAATATCTCTGCTCCTGGGCATCCATCGTAATGACCTGACTCAGACTTTGGCTGCCGTCGTTCCCAACACCTCCAAAGGGAAATCCTGAGGATGGGGATGGATCCGGGGCTAGGGGCGAAGCTACCCCAGCACCAAAATGTAACAGTCTAGGAAGCATAAAAGCACGTTCTTGATACAAGCTATTTTGACTTAAGAGACAGGACCCTCAGGGGGAAGGAGAAGCTGAACCAGCCTGAGGACTTAAGTCTGGGAGTTACGGCAAAAGCCGTGCCTGCCCTCGGAGCCCAGAGCACTCAAGTTTGGAATCTTTACTTCGTATCCTGTCTGTCCAAACCACTACAAGTATTGATAAGACGTAAACGTAAATGCTTACTATGTACCACGAGAGGGAAAGAGAAAAGCCAGATAGATGTCCCTAGGCGACGGCGTCTCTAAGAGAATCGCCCCCACCGAAATGCTTGACCTCTGTACGTGATTGCTCACACCTCCACGATGCCCTCTACCTCAAACCCCTAGATGTTCTTTAAGATTAGTAGCAGCTCTGCATTAAACGGGCCGTTTTTGACCATCTACCCATGAGTCCTTCGTCTCACTGTTCCTCTGCTGGAGAAGCCTGAGCGGGCGGCTTTCAGCCACCGAATGCAAGCATCACAGCACCCACACGTTGTGGGCTCACACTCAGGGCTCAGTCCTGGTCCTCTGCCCAGAAACCACTCTAGGTGGGCTCAGGGGACCGCAGGTGGTGGCAGGGCTCAAACCCGGGTCTGCCACATACAAGGCAAGTGCCCGACCTAGGCAAACACCCACATGTGGGCTATTGCTCTAGCCCCAGATTTTTTTTTTTAATGCTTTTATTAAGCAGTTTTACTAGGCAGTCATTCTTTTCTTTTTTTTCCTTGCTTTTTGGGTCACATCCAGTGATGCTCAGGGGTTACTCCTGGCTCTGCACTCAGGAATTACCCCTGACGGTGCTCAGGGGATCATATGGGATGCTGGGAATCGAACCCGGGTGGGCCGCATTCAAAGCAAATGCCCTACCAGCTGTGTTATTTCTCCAGCCCCTAGCCCCCGATTTTGAAAGGAAACAATGACTTACGTGCATGCATATAGCAAAGTCAGCAGCGTCTTTTCTTTTACTACAGCGAGGGTGAAGGAAGAAGCAGCCAATCCTGTTCAGGTAATTATAGATCTTACAGTTTAGTGGAGGCTTCCAGTTAGTATTTCCTCCTATTATTTTCGGAAAAGACATAAATAAAGAACATAGTCAAAGATGGGAAAGAACGGAACACTGGATACAAGTGGGAACTCTTCGGTAAAAAACACATATTAGAAAAAAAAATTTTTTTTTCTAGAGGAAAAGAATTAAATTAGAATATGTGTAAGAACCCAGCTCTCAGGCACACGTCACCATCTTGTTCCTCGACTATCTTGAAAAAGATTCAACTCCTCAGAATCGGCTCCCTCATCTGAAAACTCACTGGGACATTATACCGAACCAAGAGGAATACAGGCGAAAAATTTCTAAGGACTATCATTCGATACGCATTAGAAGGTTTCTGTAATTACAAATGCCATGGCTGTTTAGTCGATTAAAATGATAGGAAATCAACAAAGCTAGGCCTACTAAAAGATCGTATTAGCAAACTTAACAAGACCCATGTATATTCAAATACACTCAAGCACACTCATGCACACACACACGTGCACGCACACACACACACACACACACACACACACACACACAGAGCTGTTTTTTGTTTTGGGGCCACATTCGGCTGCGCTCAGAGATCACACTCCTGGTCATGCTCAGGGGACCAAATGCGGTGCAGTGGATCAAACTCGGGACAGCTGCATTCAAGGCAAACGTTCTCTGCACCATCTCCCCTGCCCGACGAAAGTCTATCTTAAATCACAATCACCAGCTTTTCCTCAAACATGAAGTCTATCAGAGGCACTTCCTCCAGCTGCAGTCAGTGGTTCACACGAAACTGCTCATTTATGACTCACTGTCATCCCATTGTTCATCGATTCACTTGAGCAGGCGCCAGTAACGCCTCCATTCGTCCCAGCCCTGAGCTTTTAGCAGCCTCTCCTGACTCGTCTTTCCCAACGCTGCTGTATTGGGGGCTCTTTCAGGGTCAGGGGGATGAGGCCCGTTATTGTTTCTGTAATTCTGGCGTATTGGATATGACACAGGGAGCTTGCCAGGCTCTGCTGCGTGGGCAGGATACTCTCGGTAGCCTACTGGTGTGACCTGTGATTTCTTGCCTACTGTCTGAACCCCATCAAAAATGGTGAGGCAATGACGGGAGATGGGTAGGGAGCGTCTTATGATGTGTCCAGGAATATGTTTACTCATATGTGAGGCTTGGCCCGAGCATGTGGAAAGCGGCCTGGAGCATGGCGGCGGTTGGGTAGTGGAGGTCGGCTGCCAGGGCTGGGTCCCTCGGGGTGGGGAGGGCTCTTACTCACCCCACTCTGGGGCGCCGCCCTGGGTGTAAACAGCCTGGCGCAGAGTCTGCTGGCATGGTGACGGGGGCCATTTTATGAATGGTTAAGAGAAACTGTGAGGGCAATGATGGCAATCTGACAGTGTCACTAGTACGACTGCTACGAGGCTCAAACTGAAAAGCCTGCCTCCGAAAAGTTAGTGTAGAGCTAGAGCGAGACACAGCGGGCAGGGCGTTCGCCTGGCACGCAGAGGACCCGGGTTCGGTTCCCAGCGTCCCATAGGGTCCCCCAAGCAGCGCCAGGAGTAACCCCTGTACACTGCCGGGCGTGACCCAAAAAGCAGAAAAAAAAATTTTTTTTTTAAGTGAGTTGTATACTTTGTAAAATGTAAATTTCCCAGTCTATTTCCTTAGATTTTAAAAAGGAGAGTATTGTCATCAGTTAAGGATGTGCCAGTGACAAGCAAATTATGTGGCACCTTGTGTTACAAGTTTTTCAGTCTTGGGGTGGAGAAACAGTAGAGGGTAGGGCGCTTGCCTTGCGTGTGGCCAACCCGGGTTTGATCCCCAGCACCCCACATGGTCCCCTGAGTCTGCTACGAGTGATCCCTGAGCAAGAGACAGGAGAAAGTCCTGTATCACTGGGTGTGCCCCCCCCCCCAAAATAAATGAAAAAGTTTCCGTCTGCATTTAAAGACACAAAGATTTTTGGAGACACCAGGAAGAGCTAGCATATCCATAAAGAAATGTAAAGAGACCATCTACAGCCAGGACCCAGAGACTCACTGCCCTTCTCTCTCAGAAGAGAGCAGAAAACGATACACACCATGGCCACGTCACTGGACCCGGCGCCAGGCCGGTTCATTCAGGGGGAGGGGGGAGGGAGGACCCTCCCCCAGCAGCTGAAAACCTCCAGAACTCAACCACTGCCCTGCTCACGGCCAAGGCACACCCATGAGTGAACTTTTCCTGGACCCCCGCGACTACAAATGCAGCTGCACAACATGTCATACCTCCTACCACTAATATTCCAAGAGTAGCGCACCACATTTGGTGGGGTTTAAGGTAGGAGGCAACCAATCTTAGAGGAAAATATATATAAATATATAAACAGCTCCTGGGAGAGAACAAGGCAGAGTCTCCTACCCTATGCCTGACTGTCTCCACCAGGGCCCAACAGCTGAAGACCACCGGGGCCCAGCCAAGGCCATGCTGGGAGCACTCTCCACACACTTGGATGAGCCTCACGCATAAAAGAACTGACAGAGGAACCCAGGTGTGTGGGACCCGGGGCTGAGATCTCCAAGCCTGCACGGTTTGGGACTGGACCTGCCAGTAGCTAGACAGTTACACCCACCAACTGCCGTGTAACCCCAACAATGGCCAGGATCCAGAGATTATCACACTCAGCTCCACGGCCGCGCGACATCTTATCATCTCATTCCTAATTCGGTCAAACTGGCAGGCTACCAAATGTAACATGCCCACACGGCAGAGTCTGGCAAACTCCCCGTGGTATACCCAATATGCCAAATACCAGTAACAATGATGGGTCTCATTCTCCTAACCCTGAAAAAGCCTTGAATATGGCACTTTAAAAAAAAAAAATCTCAGGGCTAGGACGAAGAAGACGTTACTGGCACCTGCTCGAGGCAATGACGAACAACAGGGTGGTCGTGATCGTGATATATTATATAGAATATATGCATATTATCTTCAACAACATGTTAGTGATCTCTTATAGAAGGGCTTAGTGGTCCCTGGGTGAAATACAACCATCTTCACACACTTCCTCGAAGGAAACTTTTTTTGGATCACTCTCAACGGTTTATTCAGAACAAACAATACAAAACGCGAATTATTTCACTTCTGCCTTGGGGCAGAGGTTGGGGTTCGGGATAGAAACATCCCAAGCATGGTGGTGGGAAGGTGTCATGGTGCTAGGATTGCTGTTCGAATATTAAATATAATCCGATATTGTGAACTACTTTACAAAAAGAACGCAGTAAAATGAACTCTAGTACTATTAATACTATTTACATGTTCTACTCAGGAAAGTTCAGGAGTGCTCCTTTCAAAGTCAGCCATTTATTTATTTTTTTTTTCCCTCTTTGGGTCACACCCAGTGATGCTCAGGGTTACTCCTGGCTGTGCACTCAGGAATTACTCCTGGTGGTAGTCAGGGGACCATATGGGACGCCGGGGATTGAACCCAGGTCGGCCGTGTGCAAGGCAAACGCCCTACCCGCTGTGCTATCGCTCCGACCCCAGTCAGCCATTTCTTAAGGGAAAAGTAAACAGAGTAAATCTCAAAAGTTTTCCTTATTAACCTCATCCTGATCTTCCCTCATTACCTTGAAAGCCCCAAATAAATGTTCCTTGGTTAAGATGTCCTGGGAGATGACCAAAGAAGTTCGACCAGTTATCAAAATCTACAAAGACTATATGAGTCATGGTTCGCAGGTAATCCAAATCTGGGAGCTCAACTTCTTCATCTGAGAGGAGAGAAAAAATTCACATCAATTCATTAATAATGAAAAATATTCTTACAAAAGCATTATTCCTGCATGCATTAGCCCCATCTAAACATTCCCATGAAATCCAAATGTGTTCCTAACACAAAATGTTTAAATCAGATTCAAAACTTGGAGTATGTACCTGTCCTCAACATCAGCCACTTGACCTACACTTTTTGGGGTAAGGGTGGAGGGGTGTCTGGGCCCCACCCTGCAGAACTCAGGGCTTATTTCTGACTCTGAAGCTCAGTGACCATTCCTGACGGGGCTTAGGAACCCGATGGCACGGACTGAACCTAGGTAGGCCGCGTGGAAGACGAGCACGCTATCTGTACTCTCCTCTCGCCAGCCCTGTCACCCCTTTCTTAAAAAAAAGTCACGGGAAGGGGGCTCGGGGAATGGTGGGACATACACTCCGGTGATATTCAGGGCTTATTCCAGGCTCAGAACTTACTCCAAGCTCTGTGCTCAGGAATTCCTGTAGAGGGTCCCGAAGTTCAAGCCCAGCTGGATGCCAACAAGGCAAGTGTCTTAGGTACTATACAATCTCTCCAGTCTCAGGGGGAAATTTTTTTTTTTAAAGCAACGTATTGGAAAAAAAAAAAAAGCAGAGGAACCAGACAGCCAATTTAAGCTATATCTTGTATCAAAAAAAAAAAAAAAAACTCAGGGTACCTTTTAAAAAGGTTCTCTCTCTACCAGAATTTCCTTCTTTTCCTACTCTGGGCTGATTCATTAGTAGCCTCTAGCTCTGTGGGTAAACGCCTCAGAATGAAAATGAGATTCGGTATGGCCTTTCTGTTCAGTGGTGCATATATCAACAGTTTTCATTCCGCCTAAGAGCACCTTCAGATTACTGCCATCCTCTCCCATCGACCAGCACCCACTTTCCTGTATATTTTCTTAAAATATGTATTTAGGAACAAGAACACAGAAGAACAAAGAACAAGGAACATAAAGCACAAACACTTTTTTTTTTTTTTTTTTGCGCTTTTTGGGTCACACCAGGCAATGCTCAGGGGTTGCTCCTGGCTCATGCACTCAGGAATCACTCCTGGCGGTGCTCGGGGGACCCTACGGGATGCTGAGAATCAAACCCGGGTCGGCCGCGTGCAAGGCAAACGCCCTCCCCGCTGGGCTATTGCTCCAGTCCCACAAACACTTTTTAAAAAAAGCACAAAAGCATATGAGGAACATAAAACAATGTGGCCACTGTCTCCCTGCTTGGCGTAGAGTCAAGTGAGTGTGTCACTTAATCGTTTCTCGTACAAAATGTGGCGCCACTAAACCTCTGATGATGAGAGCTACATGTGCTCTCCAGGCTCTATGCCACAAAGCTTCCTTGAATTGCAGGTACCCCTAACTGAATAGAGGGGGATCGAGGGGGTAGCGAAAACATTGCAAGGGTAAAAGGTTTCTGAGCGTTGGAGGTCCAAAAATTAGGAACCAGGGAGACAGAACAGCGCTTGCCTTCCACGTGGCAGACCCAAGTTCAATCCCAGGACCCCAACTGGTCTCCTGAGCGCTGCTAGGTTGTGGCCAAAAAAAAAAAAATTCAAAATCAAACGTGTAATGAATTCGAGGTTTCTGGCAATGCACAGTCATGCTGCACTTTTTAACAAAAAGGGGTCTCGTATGGGTAGAGTTTAAGAAGCCCTGCTGCGGAGCAAGCATAGAAAATTGCAACGGTTCATTAAAATACCTGTAGTCAAAATGTTCACATAGTCTCATTGTTTCCATTCTACATCACAGGTTAGCAAGTTAAGATTCATTAAAAAGGGGGCTGGAGCAATAGCACAGCGGGTAGGGTGTTTGCCTTGCATGCGGCTGACCCGGGTTCGATTCCCAGCATCCCACATGGTCCCCTGAGCACCGCCAGGGGTAATTCCTGAGCGCAGAGTCAGGAGTAATCCCTGTGCATTGCAGGGTGTGACCCAAAAAGCAAAAAAAAAAAAAAAAAAAGCCTTAAAAAGTACAAAATTCCTCTTCTAAATAAAATAAAAATACACTCCCTAAACTCAAGAAAAGGTGACCCATATCTCAGTCCCAACTCCCATGGTTTCTTCTTACCACCAGTAGCTACTTCTAATTGTTACTTTAGATGAAACTCTTGACTCCAAGAAAATTTTAACAAAAATAAACAAACTCTGGGGCCAGTGAGAGAGCGGGGGGGGGGGGGGGCAGCAGGCTCGCATGGTCTGCAGGCATAGGGCTCTGAGTTCCACCGTGGCACGAGACCCCCCTAGTAGAATTCCTGTTGATCCCCGGGCATATCCCGGGGCCCTTGCACTAAGCTAGATGACCTACAGATATTCAGTTGGAAAAATGTCCATAGGGATGGATCTGAGCCCCCCTTGAGCACCTAAAAAATACACAAATTCTGAGTGACCATTCAGATTTTTCTTTTTTATAAAATAAGGCCAAAAAAAAAAAAACCACACAAAAAAGAAACAAGTAAAAATAAAAAATAAAATAAGGCCAAAATACAAACTGAAAGAGTTTACTTGGGGCCCTGCAGACCGGCGTCATCCCTGGTGCAGCAAGGGTGACGGCCCAGGAGCTGCACCGTTTGTGAGCCTGGCCATTCCGCCATCTGGGATCCCGGGCAAGGGGTTTCCCGCTGCACCAGCCACAGCCCGGTGTAACACAACACAACACAGAGTGTGAGCCCTGGTGAGAAGCACCACTTAAAAAGAAGTGGGACCACAGGCAGGCAAGCATTTACTTGTCGAAGGACTAAGATGACCCCGAGTGGGCTCCACTGTGACTCTTGTACCTCGACTCTGGGTGCAAGGCCCGGTGAGCACTGCGCCAGCACCCAAACTAAAAGCACCACCACCTTCACTGAGCGTCACAACTAGACGGGTGACCCTGGGTAAGCACTACGGAGAAAACTGGGCGGGCCCCAAAGCCTGGTGTCTGTGTGGTCCCCACCCATCCAACAACATCGCTGATCACAACCTCAGTGACAAAGAGAGGAGGAGAGGAAACTTTTTTTTTGCTTTTTGGGTCACACCCGGCGATGCTCAGGGGTTACTCCTGGCTCATGCACTCAGGAATTACTCCTGGCGGTGCTCAGGGGACCCTATGGGATGCTGGGTATTGAACCCGGGTTAGCCATGCTGGATGCGTGCAAGGCAAACGCCCTACCCGCTGTGCTATCGCTCCAGCCCGGAAACCTTAAAAAAAAAAAAAAAAAAGAATTCAACTGATTTATCTTATTCATGAATATAAAGCTAAATCAAAAAAGTTAAAACTTGGGATGTCCAGGATGATTTTTGAATCTAACTTTTAGAAAGGGTCATCTATTTCCTCATCTCTCAAAATCTGTTTTCTGTAAAAAAAAAAAAAGTTCTCTGAAATAGGGACTATTTATGGCAACATATACTCTGAACCTAAAACTTAAAGAGTGGCTGGATAAAAAAATAAATAAAACCAGAAATCACTAAGATGTACAGACAGACTGTGATGATAACTATGGTACCACACGGCTACATTTTGTGCTTGAAAACCGAACCGTCAGCTTTCCCAAAAATGAGGGCTTCCACGGCCACAGTACACAAACTTTCCAAGTCAGCGTAAGAAATCTGCAAAGATATTAGAGATGCAGTGCCAGAAACTGCAAAGACCTTAGAGTCGCAGTGCCAGAAACTGCAAAGACCTTAGAGTCGCAGTGCCAGAAACTGCAAAGACCTTAGAGTCGCAGTGCCAGAAACTGCAAAGACCTTAGAGTCGCAGTGCCAGAAACTGCAAAGACATTAGAGTCGCAGTGCCAGAAACTGCAAAGATCTTAGAGTCGCGGTGCCAGAAACTGCAAAGACCTTAGAGTCGCAGTGCCATACCTATATTCTGAGCGCTGGAGTCATTCTCGGTCCCCTGCTCCGCGTCCGCATGCTTCGGGTGGTTCGCCGTGGGTTTTGGCTTTCTCTCTGGGCGCGAGCCCCCGGCAGCAAACTTGTACGGGCTGGTTTTCTCAGCCCCGAAAGGAGGCAGGCCGGGCTCCTGGAGGAAGCAGTGCTTCTTGTGGAAGTGCTGCTGGGCGCTGTCGGGATCGTGGAACGACTTCGTGCAGGTGCCGCACTTGAGGACGTACCTCTGCTCCTCCGCCTCGCGTGCGCCTCCCGCGTGCGCCTGGTGGACGTGCGTGTTCATGTCGACGACGCTCTGGGCCGTGGCCGGGCAGGCGCTGCAGCGAAACCACAGCTTCCCCGTTTCCAGCAGGGTCTGCAGGCACCGACCGTGATCTTCCCTGCGGTTCCCTTTGCAGACGTAGGTCTCGTGGCACCCGCAGCTTAACCGCTGGCTGCTCTCCACGACCGAAAAATCACTCTCCGTCTTGATGGACGTCTCCATTTTTTCGGGCACGAAGACGTAGTCGGCACTGTGGCACTTCTGATAGTGGCTCAGGAAGGCGTCTTCCACGTTAAAGAGGAGGTCGCAGAGGCCACAGAAAGACTTGATCTTTATGTCGTTATCGTGCTCGTCCTGGCAATGCCGACACAGGGTCTCTCTCTTGTGGAAAGTCTTCCTGCAGTGGGCGCAGCTGTACCGGTGGAACTGGTGACTCGCCAAGGACGCGCAGTGCTGTCTCACACTCTCCTGGGACTCGAACATGTCCTCACAGATGCGGCACTGCCACCTACCTCTGGGAGGGCTGTTCCCGGGGGACTGATCGGCGATGGTGATGACGGAAATGGAATTGTCATCGGTCGTGTGGCTCGCCCACGGCGCAGAGGAGGAGGGCACCGTTTCACTCTCGACCTCGTCTGTCTCATAAAAATATCTGTGTCCGCTGTGAAATTCTGTCACGTGAGCCATGATCGTGTCCTTCCTCATTAACTCCCTTTTGCACGTCCGACACCAAAAATGAAAGTTGTTCAAGTGCGCCCCTCCGTGAAACCGGCTCATGTGCAAACGGATGACCCCGGAATCTTCGCACACCTTCCCGCAGACCACACATTTGTAGCACATTGTGTTTGCCGAGAAAACATGCTTTTCGACTGCCTCTTCACTGGGGAATCGTTGGTTACACTCACAGAACCAAGTCTGAACGACTGATTTCTCCTTCTGGGCACAAAGCGGACCGACCTGGCTCTTGTCGTCCAGATTCATCTTCTTCCTCGGAATGCCGCTACCGTCCTGCGCGTTAAAATCCTGAACAGGCATCGCTCTTTTAAGTGATGAAAATTTCGATCGCCCGAGCGACGGGTGCAAGCCTGAAGGAGAGTTATTCCCTTCGTGGCTGTGGCAGTAAAGTAAGATGGATTCTTCCACCGAGTTAATAACGCGGATGCTGTGTCCTGAATTCTGCTTGTGACTCTGGGTGCTGGTTTCGTCCACAAAGACTTGGTTGCAATCTGGACAATAACCTCTAAAGATAAATTTCTCCACGACCTGGACGATGCTCTTCTCAGCAATAGCTACAGGACCAGCATTTCGACAACGAACTCTAAATTCGGGAGGAAGGGAAAAAAAAATAAAACTCCGTAAGAATTTTCCAAATGTGGGCTCTCATGTGTAGGAAGTATCAAATAAACAATGCGTGCAGAAGCACTTAGGACATTTTTAAAGATACAGGCGTCACAATACTCAGCACCTCAAACTACTACTACCTACGTTTTATCTGAGTCTAACACATACACAGAGGATAAAACTAGAATCAAAAAAAATTTTTTTTAAATAAGAAACCCTTCAGAAAACTTAAAACAGGATCAACTGAAATGACAGAAGAGACTACTCTATGGCAATTAGACTGCGGGGCAGAACACCATGGTTTCCAAGAGTCTTGAAAACCCAGTTCGATCCTTTAAGAACTGATTCACTTGACGTCAGGAATATGCCCTCGACATAACAGCTTTTGTCCTAAAGAACCAGGTTCGATTAAAATGACACACTATTCCAAGGGTGATTAGAGGTCGCCCCAAAAGCCTCTATCCCTCTCGGAAAGACTGGCAAGCTACCGAGAGTATTCCGCCCGCACGGAAGAGCCTGGCAAGCTATCCGCTGTGTATTCGATATGCCAAAACCAGTAACTACAACTGGTCTCATTCACTGAGACGTTACTGGAGCCCGCGCGAGCAAATCGACGACTAACGGGAAGTTAAGTGATTAAGTAATTAAGTGACTATTCCAGAAGTAGCTACGCTCTGGGGTCGGAGTGACAGCACAGCAGGTAAGGTGTTCGCCTTGCCTATGGCAGCCCTGGGTTCGATCTCCAGCACCCCACATGGTCCCCAAACCGAGCCAAGAGTGACTCCTGAGCGTAGAGCCCGAAATAAGCCCTGAGCATTGCTGGGTGTGTCCCTCGCCCACACCCCCCCCAAAAAAAACTGCTTCAAACTGTCTTTCCTTTACTATTATAAAGTCCAAAGAGAATAAACCTGTTGGCAGTCATCTATTTTAAGAGCAAAAAAGTATGATCTTTAATTACAGCGGAATTAAGTTGGACACAAATCATTGAGAACTCCATAATTTTGATGGTCACAGTCACGGTCCGCCTGATGTTCATCAATTTGCTCGAGCGGGCCCAGTAACGTCTCCATTGGAGACTTTGTTGTTCCTGTGTCTGGCATATCGAATACTCTCGGTAGCTTGCCGGGCTCTCCGAGAGGGGCGGAGGAATCGAACTCGGGTCGGCCATGTTGGCCGCTTGTAAGGCGAACGCCCTACCCGCTGTGCTATCGCTCCAGCCCATAATTTTGACAAATTCTTAAATTTTTGTTTTTTGGGGGGCCACACCCAGCAGTATTCTGGGTCTACTCCTGGTTCTGTGCTCAGGGGTCACTCCTGATGGGTTTGCAGAACCACAGGGGTGTCAGGGACTGAACCATGGGTCACCTTTGTGCACCAGGCAAGTAAGTGCCCTACCTCCCCACTGTACTATTGCTCTAGCCCCAAGTCTTTAATCTTCATAAGTTGATACGATCACGATCACGATCATCCTGTTGTTCGTTGATTGCCTCGAGCAGGCCCCAGTAACGTCTCCTTCACCCTAGCCCTGAGGTTTTAAAGTGCCATATTCAAGGCTCTTTCAGGGCTAGGAGAATGAGACCCATCATTGTTACTGGTATTTGGCATATTGGGTACGCCACGGGGAGTTTGCCAGACTCTGCCGTGTGGGCAGGTGACATTCGGTAGCCTGCCAGGTGGTTCCAAGTAAGAATGAGATAATAAGTTGACAGACTTCTAATTAATATATGGTTCAAATAAAAAATCAATAGGAAAAAGATAAGAACAAATACTTAGTTTTTTTGGTTTGGGTTACGGTACTGAAATCTACCCAGCTCTACTCTTGGGGGCCATGTGGTATAGGGCATTAAACCTGGACCTCCTGCATGGAGTAAGGCCTTCCGATGAGCGATCGCGGCAACCCAAAAGAAAGAATATTCTTTAACTGAATGGAAATTGAAAAACCTATCAAACTGTGATGCAGGAAAATCAAGGACCAGAGGTTTAAATCGAGGCCTGGAGGTCTAAATGTTTACACAGAAGAGGCCCACAGTTAACCTAAGGTTCTCCCTAAAAAAAGAGAGAGGGGCACTGGAATCCTTGATGGGGGTACACTGAGGATTAGTGCGGTGATGGGACTAAGCGCATGATAATTCATTAGTAACTGAAAACCACGGGACTTCATTCAATGCACAGACAGAAAATGTAATAATATTAAAAATAAGGGGATGAGGGGAGGGGAGGGGAACGGAGGGGAGAGAAAGCAAGAGCCAGGGACGAGGGTCCGTGGTACCGTGCCAGCCGTGCAGACCTAAGGCTCAAGGACTGTTCCCCGGCACAGTCCCACAATGCCAACTGTGACCCTGGCTGCACCCCTGTCTCGATCCCAGGTAACCACAGCAAGTGTGAGGTCTCCAGAGCACTGCAAACAAGTGTGCAACGCCCCAAGGAATGCAACCAAGCCCACAACCCTGGATAGCACATCAGTGAGAATAAAAGAAAGGCCAGGGGGAAACGATAAGCAACTTGATTCCAAAGTCTGACTAGCATAAATCAACAGACTGAAAAATACACACACACACATAAACACACACACACACACACACACACACACACAGCATTCACCAATGAAATCGAAATCTGCTTTTTTTAAAGATTTTTAAAAAAACGTTTCAAGTAGATTATAAACATGAACACTTTTCATTTCTTTGTCTTGGCCCATACCTGGCGATGCTCAGGGCTCAGTCCTGGCAGGCTCAGGGGCTGGGGATCGAACCCGGGTCAGCCACATGTGAGGCAAACACCCTACACTCCCAGGTGTACACTCGCTCTAGCCCCAGGAACAGTTTTTTAAAAACAAATTTTAAGAAAATGAAATAAAAATATATATCCCTGAAGCAAGAATAAGTAATAATTTTTCAAATAGGGCAGAGAAAACATTACCACGAAAGGAGAAAATAAAAGTATGCCTCATGAGAAATAAGACTTAACGCTTCTGCTGAGTCCTGAAGAGATGGAGGCGACTGTCTTGCAAACGGCAAGCCCCGCTCAATCTCCAGCACCACGGAGGGTCCGCCCAGCACCACCAGGAGCTAACTCCTGAGCACTGAGTCAAGAGTAATCCCTGAGCACTGTCCAGTAAGCGACCCTCACCGAACAAAAAAAGCTTCTGTTCGTCAAAATGCATAAGAATATGAATATACATAGTCTAGACAGGGAGAAAATCCATCCAGAATCTGACATGCATCTGACAAAGGATCTGCACCGAGCAAACATGAAGGACTGTACCCGACTATTCAAAATGGAAAACAGGGCCCGAGACAGAGCACAGGAGTCCAAGTGTTTTTGCCTTCCCCGTGGCCAGTTACTGGTTCAACAATCCCTGGCTCTGCAGCAGATCTGCCGACCTCTGCCAGGAGTGATCCCTGAGCGCAGAGTGAAAAATAAGCCCTGAACACTGCTGGGGATGGTTCCAAACATGAAGAAAAAATAATAATAATAATAAAATAAAATAAAAAGGCACACAAGTCCAATTTTATTTTTGGGTTTTTTGGTTTTTTTTTTTTTGTTGTTTTTTAATTTTTGGGACACACCCGGGCATGCTCAGGCTCTGCACTCAGTAATTACCCCCGGTGCAAAGATCATCTGGGATGCCAGGGATCGAGCCCAGACTGGCAGCATGCAAGGCAAACGCCCTACCTGCTGTACAGGCACCCACGAATACAAATTTTTTTTTTTTTTTGCTTTTTGGGTCACACTCGGCAATGCACAGGGGTCACTGCTGGCTCTGCACTCAGGAGTCCCTCCTGGCGGTGCTCGGGGGACCATATGGGATGCTGGGAATCGAACCCGGGTCGGCCGCGTGCAGGGCAAACGCCCTACCCGCTGTGCTATCGCGCCAGCCCCACGAATCCAATTTTTAAAAGTGAAACTGAACCGATGTTTCACAGATGCTACAGATGAAAATACACCAGCAGACACTCAAAAGCTAAAATAATCTACCCCAAGAGCCCAAAACCAATGTTTGCATTCCTACGTTCACTGCTACGCTCGGCACGATAGTCAAGATCTTGGAACCAGCACAAGTGCTCAAGAGCAGCTGAGTGGAGAAAGGAACTCTGGTGTATCTAACATAACGGAATACTAGTCACTTATACAGATAAAATGAAGTCCCAGAGTGCACTGCCACATGGAGGGAACAGAGGTCATCGTGACAGTGGTCAGAGAGGGAACGCATACACACTGAGCTTGACCGTCCTGTTTTTATCCGTCTGGGGAATCCATTTTATTTGAAGGTTGCAGGAAACAAGCGTTCTATTTGAATAAACGCAGTTGCTCCATTTAGAAGGTACAAGTTTTTCACTTAATGCATTTTTTATTTACAGCAACTTTTTTTTTAACACGTTCAATTTTTTGGCAGAGGTGAGGGGGGTGTTCCACACCCCATGGTGCTCAGGGATCACTCCTGGCAGGCTTAGGGGACCATCCAGGGTGCTGGGGATTGAACCTGGGTTGGCTGCGTGCAAGGCAAATGTCCTACCTGCTGTACTATGGATCCAGCTCCTTAAGGCATTCTTAAGAAGTAACAGGTGAAAAGAGAACTAAGAGAGATCACCTAAGTGTATCCTCTAAGTGTAAAGCCCAGGCTTTCTGGAAATCAAGATTTATGAAACATAAATATAACAAAATTTCACAAGATAAGCAAATTTCTAATTTCTAGTGGATATTAAAAGAGCATTACTTTTTTAATATACAGAAATTTTTTTTAAAGAGTTTATTATTTACAGATAGAGGAGTATTTATGAATAAATGATGTAATACCTAGGATTTGCTTCAAAGCAGAATTTTTGGAGAGGGAATTATCAGAACTAGAATGAGTGCCCTGTGTTGTTCACTACCAAAGGTGATGATGAAAGGTACATCACTATCATATTACTTTCCTTTTGTATAGAGACGGATAATTTCTACTATAAAGATTTTAACATGTTAAACTGGAACCTCTTGATAATCCGGAGATTTGACTTCCATTAAAATTTAATCTTTCATTATGTATGATACCTTTCATTCTGGATGACTTAAAATCAAAGTTTAATTTTAACTCCTCAGGAAAACAAACACAGAGCTTAGGAACTAATTTTGCATTCACAATCAGAGCAATATATCAACTTCTTCTAACCTCTAACCTCTTTCACTATGCTAACTTTGGTTAGTTTCCAGGCAAACGCACATTCTCATTTTAAAAGGAAAGAGACTATCAAGGCACAAAATAGGCATTAAACTCCCCTCTCCCTGGTAAAGAACCGACCAGGAGAGATTCCCTTCAAGCCAAGGCCAGACCTATACAAACCTGAAATGGGCCGTGAGCTCCATGTGGGAACACAACGTCTGGTGGCAGGCAACACACTTCACTTGGAATGAGACGTCTTTGCACAGGGAGATCAAAAGCTTTTTGGCAAAAGATGGAAATGATACTGGATGTGCCATGCCCCTGTTATCTGAAAGAAAAAATAGACCATAACCTGCAGAGCCATTTGACTAGAGTGGCCCAATCTTTCTCCCCTTTGACTTTCTCAGTATCAGCAGGAGTAAATCAAGATAGCAAATTTGTGTGGCAAAAAGCTGAGGGGAATAATTTTCTATTTTCTAGTGCAAAGGATGTTAAACTTACAAAATAAAAATTGAGTCTTAACTTTGGCGCTTTGGGTGGTGGGAGCACAGCAACTTTGTACACCCAAAACATAAATTATTATTATTGTAACTGTACTATTATAGTACACTTCTATTACTGTCGCTGTACTTCGACTATCCAAAAAAAAAATTAAAGTTGAGCTTTATAGCAAAAAAAGACACCCAAATTTCCAGACATCCTGGATATAGAAAAACAATAACCTAAATATGTTTTCTTTCCAAGTTTCTCATAAAAGAAACTTTATGAGTTTATTATCTGGAAAAATAGACCGTAAGTCATGTACTGATAAGGACTGAGAATCTTTATTTATTTATTTTTTCCTTTTTGGGTCACACCCGGTGATGCTCAGGGGTTACTCCTGGCTCATGCACTCAGGAATTGCTCCTGGCGGTGCTCGGGGGACCATATGGGATGCTGGGAATCGAACTCGGGCTGGCCATGTTGGCTGCGTACAAGGCAAACGCCCTACCCGCTGTGCTATCGCTCCAGCCCCAAGAGAATCTTTATTTTTGAAAATATAAACTGAGATAGAAAAGCTTCTGTGGCTCTCAAAGTGTAACGTCAAGTAACGTCAAGAATTAAAGTGTGAAAAACCAACAACGGTTCAAGCAACTTAATAATTTTCAGCAGAAAAAGAGTCAACATACCACCCAGCTGAAAACTCTGATGAAAATGATTCTTTCCAGACATATGCTTCAAGCACTCATCATTGCTGCTAAAAAGAAGAAAGCAAGTTGGGCACGCAAAACACTGAACAATCTGAGGAAGCAGGTTGTTTTTATGTCCGTCATTTGCAGCTTCCTAAAACATAAGGCAAATCTGTATTACTGACAGCTGAAAATCAATATTCAATTGCTCCAACTTAACTTTCAGTTTTCCATTTATTTGGGATATCCTGGTTCGGGGGCCAAAGCCATTTAGTAAAGCTCGGGGAGCTGCCCAGAAGTGCTCAGCAGACCTGGCAGGGCTTGGTGATCAAACCCGCGCCCCCCGCCCGTAGGCAACGCATGCATTCCAGCACTTTCTGCCCTCTCTCCAGATCCTCATCTGAAACCACATCCTGTGGTGAGACAACAACTGCCTCAGACTTCTGTGTCATGTTTTAACCTTAAAACCCGGAGTGAACTTTTATCATCAAAGAAGACCTAAATGTGAGTTCTTCTTTCTCTCAAAAACACACCGCGGAGGGCCAGAGCAATAGTACAGCTGCCTTGCAGCAGCTGACCCGGGTTCGATCCCTGGTGTCGCACACGGTCCCCCTCCCCCCCCCAGCACTGCCAGGAGTGATTCCTGAGTGCAGAGCCAGGAGCAACCCCTGAAACAGTACAGTGAGTAGGACACTTGCCTTGCACAGAGTCGACCCAGGTTCGATCCCCGGCATCCCATATGCCCCCCCCCCCAGCCATCCAAGAGTAAGTCCTTGGCTCCCCACAACTTATTCCTTTGTTAAACTGTGGTCATTTTTCTGGTAACACATTTGTTTTCTCTGTATTTCCCAATTGGCTTGTATCTAGTATCTACACGCAACATCACCAACTTTCTCAAACACTTTATTTACCTATTTTATTTCTAGCATACAAATGTTTTCTTCACCCATGCTCATGTATAGAAATTGCGAAATAAACATACGTAGTAGATTGCCATTGTTTTGTCATATATGGTTGTCCTACAGACTCTTGGAGCGATAGCACAGGGGTAGGGCGTCTGCCTTGCACACAGCCAACATGGCCGACCCGAGTTCGATTCCTCCTCCCCTCTCGGAGAGCCCGGCAAGCTACCGAGAGTATTCGATATGCCAGACACAGTAACAACAAAATCTCCAATGGAGACGTTACTGGGCCCACTCAGGCAAATTGACGATCAATGGGAGGGCCTTTACCTTACCTTACCTTTAAGCATCTACTGATTTTTATTTGATAAAACTTTCAAACTTTGATATGGTCAAAGGACATTTTTTTTTTGGCATCGAGGTTTCCAAATTCTATCCTCCTCTATGCCAAAATCATAAATAAATTTTTACTTAGGTGTTTATATGCAATTTTATACATAGGTAAATGCATAATCGAACATCATAATAGTCTATACGGTAACAGCCTTAAAAGTTACATAGCACTGTCCTCCCATTGTTCATCGATTTGCTCCAGCGGGCACCAGTAACGTCTCCATTGTGAGGCTTGCTGTTACTGTGTTTGGCATACCAAATACGCCACAGGGAGCTTTCCAGGCTCTGCCATGTGGGCGGGATACTCTAGGTAGCTTGCCAGGCTCTCCGAGAGGGGCGGAGGAATCGAACCCGGATTGGCTGCGAGCAAGGCAAACACCCTACCCATTGTGCTATCGCTCCAGGCCTGAAAGTTACATAATAATTCCAAAATTTCCTTAACATTATAGAATCAGAATGGTCTATGCTGCTCATGAGAAAAGAAAGGCGGCACAGGAAGTTTACACATCTAAAGAGCACATCAAGCACGTCAAGTTTAAAACGCACTTTTCTGTTCAATCATTAATTCCATCAAGACGTATTTTCACAATTTATGTATAGACTGGTATGTCATTAAAATTACAATGCCCTGAACAAACTCACCTAAAAGAGAGTCCTGCCACTTAAATTCAACTTTGTACCTCTGGTTGTAAATTTTATGGTCTTTCCAATACTTTCCAACTCATTTTAATCTGATGAGTGACATACAGAGGATATTCCCTAGAGATTTGCTTTTCTTTAGAAGGCCTTAAATGATAAATGCACTGTTTACTGTTCACCAAATTGTACAAATGGTCTCCTACCCAAAGAATAAACTAAAATAATAATTTGTGTTCAGTCATGGGTTTTATAAGGATTTAATATAAAGCCTGCTTACAACTGTGCTCAGTAGAGTGAAATATGATTCTATATAAAATTATATAGTACTGTGACTACTGCAAAAGTAGCACATATTTGGAAATACCTCCTACAAACTGGGTTAAGAAATGGGGAATAGAATGTCCATTAAGTTAAAAAACAAAAGAAAACAAAACAAAAAACCGGGACAGAGAGTGAAGAGCCAGGAGTAACCACTTGGTGTGGCCCAAAACCAAAAACAAAAGAACCACAACCAGATCTGATTTTAAACCCACCGGGACGGCCTTTTTTCCCCCACTGTTGTTAGGGTCACCTCCAGTGGCGCCTTGGGAAGCCAACGGTTGCCAAGGAGAGACCTCACGCGTGCTAAGTGCGTGTTCCTCCACCATTTGATCTGCATCTTCCGTCCCTGAGAGAGCAATTTTATAAGACTGTAAACTAGTCTAATAAGACGGCTCTTGTTCTCTAAAGCCAGCAACTTTACTCCCGTTCCCATTCCAGAGAACAGAGATGGGAGCCAACAGGTCAAGGCCCCACAGCGACGGGCAGTGTCTACACCCTGGGAGAATGCTCCAACTCCGCCCCTTCACGTTCAGATGGAGCAGCTCCACTGGCTGGATGCCCCTTTGAAGGTACCTCCCTGGGCCCACCTGGCACAATCTGGAGAGCAGCAGGGGCAGCACCTGTTCCTGGAGGAGGTGCCCTGGCGGTAAGCAGGCGATTTTATGGGTAAAGGCCGGCAATGCCGAGGAGAATCCACGTCGCCTGCTGATGGAAAGTCAAGTGACAGTGTACTGGGGAAGTCTGGGAGGCAGTTCGTATAAAAATTAAGTAGGTTTCTTTAACCAGTCATCTGTTTTCGGGCATTCGGGTTTGTTTTTTTTTCTCCAGATTTTGGCTATTGTGAACAGTGCAGCAATGAACATAGAAGTGCAGATGTCATTTCAAAACTTTGGTACATCTACAGAATGGAGTACTACGCAGCTGAAAGGATGAAGTCATGAAATTTGCATACAAGTGGTACTACATGGAAAGCATCATGCTAAGCGAAATGAGTCAGAAAGAGAGGGACAGACATAGAAAGATTGCATTCATCTGGAAGATAAAGTAACAAAATAGGAGACTAACACCCAAGAATAGCCGAGATAAGTACCAGGAGGATGACTCCATGGCTTTGAGGCCAGCCGCACATGCTAGGGGCAAAGGCAGCTCAGATAGAGAAGGGAGCACCAAGTAAAGGGTGTTGGGAAGATCCTCCCAGGATGGGAGATGCATGCTGAAAGTAGTCTATAGACCGAACATGATTTCCGCCCAATGTCTCTTCTGCAGACCACAGCACCCAAAAGGAGAGATAGAACAAAAGGGAATGCCCTGCCACAGAGGCAGGGTGGGATGAGGGGGGGATGGGGGATGGAGGGTTACTGGGATCAGTGGTGGTGGAGAATGGGCACTGGTGGAGGGATGGGTACTCGATCACTGTATAACTGAAACCCAAGCACAAGAACTTGTAAGTCTACAACTGTATCGCATGGTGTTTCACTAATAAAAATTATAAAAAATAAATAAATAAAAACAAATTAAGTAGGGCTCAGCAGCCAGGGAGATAGGACAGCAGGCAGGGTGTTTGCCTTGCACACAGCCAACCCGGTGGATTCCCCAGCCTCACATATGGTCCCTTAAGCTGCCACTGGGTGTGGCCCCCCCAAAACTGAAATAAATAAGCAGGGGTCTGAGAAACAGTACAGGGGTTAAAGCCCAAACTGCCTTCCACCCCGATATGCAGTATGACAGTGTTTTCCTACACACAGTGGGCCGCAGCCCTGGTGGTCCCCCAAAGGTTGCTGGAGTGGCCTGGGTAATTCTTAGGCACCAGAGTGCCTGAGCAGAATCTGAACCTCGGACTGAACCTCCAGCTTGGCTCGTCAAGAATTATCAGGAAGGGTCCTGGTCTCCTGAGCACGGCTTGGGAGGCAGGGGAAAAATTCATGACCCAAAACTTACCTCATTAGAAAGGTGAAAAAAATATGTCTACACAAAGACTTGTAGGCTTGCTTATGATAGAAAAAAAAATGGAAAAGCTGATAAATTGAAAAAAGCAGAGATCCATGGGATGGAACATTTGTTGTTAGACAATAAGTTCAACGAGGTACTAATACGTGCCTTAAGAATGAGCCTTGACTTTGAGGACAGCCGCACACGCTAGGGGAAAAGGAAGCTCAGATAGAGAAGGGAGCACCAAATAAAGGATGTTGGGAAGATCTGCCCAGGATGGGAGATGCATGATGAGAGCAGACTGTAGACCGAATGGGCACTGGTGGAGGGATGGGTATTCGATCATTGTATAACTGAAACCCAAGCACAAAAATTTGTAAGTCTACACCTGTACCCCATGGTGTTTCACTAGTAAAAATTTAAGAAAAAAAAAAAGAATGAGTCTTGAAAGCAAATACATATGAAAGAATCTTGTCATAGAAGGCCATCTGTATGCCCCCATTTTCACACTATGGTTAGAAAATCGACAAGATAGGAAGTGGTTTACTGGTTACCCAGGGCTTGGGAGGATGTAAGAATGCAAGTTGTAACTAATTTCACTCTCAACATAGGACGCATGAGAACGCAGTCTTCTAGCGACCTCTTCTGGTTTATCTGAGATTGGCTATTATTACAAGCCGATTCCCACCAGTTCCTGTTCAAGTCCTCATGACAGACAATTCAAAAAACAAGTGACAAGAAGCATATATTGGGAATTACAGATCAGGACCTTAGAGCTTCATGCAGTATTATATTTTCCCTCAAGTCTTTATGTGACTACAATTCTATCTTCAAGACAAACGAAGCTGATATCCAGTCACTTGCTAAGAATGTACAGATCATAGAAGTGTCCAAGATATCCAGTCTGACACCACATCCTTTACTTTGCCATACATTTCCAAAAACTGTGTATCTATTTATTGATTTTAAGGGGGAGGGGCAGACGCGGCTGTGCTCGGGGCTCACTTCGGGCTCTGTGCTTAAGAATCACACCTGGCAGTGCTTGGCGGACCACATGTCGTGCTGGGCATCAAACCCAGGTCACCTATATGCAAAGCAAATGCCCTACTCACTATCCCTCTGATCCCAAGTATATCTTTACTTCCTGGAAAGAAGACAGAAGGGAAGATAGGCAGCTTGCAATGACTGATTTCCAGAAAAGAAAAGGGAAAAAAAGAGTAATGAAATAAGACATCTCATCAATTTCAGTAACATTAAAAGGGTCGATTTCAAAGGCGGCACAAGTAGCAGAGCACGTGGCAAACAAGAAGTCCCCAACCGCTGCCAACCCAAACATCCAACTGTCAAGACCACATTAAGCGGGGCTGGAGCGACAGCACAGCGGGTTGGGCGTTTGCCTTGCACACGGCCAACACGGGTTCGATCCTCAGCATCCTGGAAGGTTCCCCCGAGCACCGCCAGGAGTGATTCCTGAGTGCATGAGCCATGAGTAACCCCTGTGCATCACCAGGAGTGGCCCAAAAAGCAAAAACAAACAAACAAACAAATTACACCCCCCCCCCCAAAAAAAGGCCACATTAAGCTGTATGTCTCTAGGCCCCAGGGGCCTCCTGGGTACTGGTGGGTATGGACCCTAAAAAGAGAAATAAAATCCTGTGCTTTCCTTCAAATTATGCCCCTTTTGGAGTCCCAAAGATCATCCCCAAATTGAATGGTTTTTCAGAACTCACAGCCTCAGCACACAGTTCTACTCGGGGTTATAGCATCACGCCTACAGGTGCGCAGGGGTTGAGCCTGACTGTGCTCGGGAGCCCTGTGATTCTTGGGGCCAAATTCAGGCCTCCTGCATGCAAAGGCTTCTCTGCAGGCAGTCAGCCCACTGCTATGTCTCCTCTGATTCCAGGGGCTGTTTTATTTAAGTGAAATAATCATGGGGCCGGAGAGACAATACTGGGCTTAAGGCACTTGCCCTGCATGTAGCTGATCCCAGTTTGACTGGGTGTGGCCCAAAACCACCCTAAAAAAAAAAAAAAACAGGGCCCTGAGAGATAGAACAGTGGATAAGGCATTTGGCCTTGTACACAGGTGACGCAGGTTCGATCCCCAGTGGCACATCTGGTCCCTATGCCTGCCAGAAGTGGTCCCTGGGCGCAGAGCCAGGAGTAAGTCCGGGTCTGGCCCCCAAACAAAAGTAAGATAATAAAATAAAATCAACAGGGGAAGAAAGGAACATGAGGTAAAGTCTGGAAGGAAAACGAAGGATTCCGAGGGTCCTCTCTCAACCAAGTCCGACACCTCCCGCAGGGGACAATGCTAAGACTTTTATACTGTTATCTACCAGGGAGGTTTTATCCGGCGCTGGACATACTCTGCACAGCATGTACCAAGATCCCAGACTCCCGTGGAGATATCAGGCATCCAGCATACCTCCCGCTGTTAGCTCCACAGCTGTGGCCCCGAGCGCCACTCGTAGCAGAGCACAGGAGAAGTCCTCCCCGAATCCAGGTTCCCAATCACTCGCCAAAGGGCTGCTTGTGAGCAATACTTTTCTTTTTTTCCCAAACTCACACGTTGCAAGGCAAGTGCTCTACAACTAGGCTACATCTCCAGCGCGTGACCACGCCCAACCATCCAAGGCCCTTACCTCTTTCAGCATAGACCACTTCCCGTGTTAACCATTCTATTCAGATTCTTTAAACTTCCGTAGAATTCCATCACTTTCACTTTTCTTTATTTTTTTCCTGCTTTTTGGGGTCACACCCGGTGATGCACAGGGGTTACTCCTGGTACTGCACTCAGGAATTACCCCCGGCGGTGCTCAGGGGACCATATGGGATGCTGGGAATCGAACCCAGGTCAGCTGTGTGCAAGGCAAACGCCCTACCCGCTGTGCTATCGCCCCAGCCCCAATCACTTTTACTTTCATAGGATCTTTCAACTCTTCCACTATACCGTCAATTTCTCCAATATTTTTCTACACTTTCACTGAACTCCTATTTCACTTTTTTGCAGCACCACTAAGTTTTGCTCATTCTATACATCAGTTTCCTGTGTTAAAAAAAAAAATAACACTATCACGATCACGCTGTTGTTCACCGATTCACTCGAGCGGGCCCAGTAACGTCCCCATTCGTCCCTGTCACGTGCTAGTGTAGCCCGATGACATATTGGGGGCTCCTTCAGGATCAGGGGAATGACGACCATTCATTGTTACGGTTTTTGACATATCGAGTACGCCACGGTTAGCTTGCCGGGCTCTGTCGTGCGGGCGGGATAACCTCGGTAGCTTGCTGGGCTCTCCGAGAGGGATGGAAGCTTTTGGGGCGGCCTCTAATCACCTTTACAGGTGTTCCTAGTCAGGCATACAGGCGGGTACGATACTCTCAGTAGCCTGCCGGGTTTTCCTAAAAACATAATAGATTTCTCTTATACTTTAGTGGCTGATCAGCGTTGGAAGAGACAGATAAGTGATGAAAATGTGATAAAATCTGCCTTAGGATATACACCTGCTGGCCCACCACCCCAGCCTGAGGTCACTCCAGTGGTGCTCAGGGCTTACTCCTGGCTCTGTGCTCGCAAAGCACTCCTGGGGAGCTCGGAAGACCACGAGGAATGCCAGGGACCAAACCTGGGTTGGCCACACACAAGGCAAGCGCGCTACCCACTGCAGAATCTCTCCAGCCCCAAAAGAGGCGTTTTGACAACATTCTCTAACGTCAGAGCAGAAGAGGCACACATGCCTCCAAGCGTAAGCTTTTTGCTGTCTTGTTGTTTGGGCCACATGTAATCAATGAGCGATATCAATTTTCTGAAAATATAAATGGTGCAGAGTCGAAATGTGTTATTCTGGGGGCTCAGGAACTCCTCCCTCATTGCTCTCTGCTCAGGAATCCTGCCTCTTTACCGCTTGTGTCTCCTTGCTCAGAAAGCACAACCAGCAGTAGCTGAAGGACCGTAAGCACTGCTGGGGACCAAACCTGGGTCCGGCAAGCAGAAGGCAAGTCAGAGGCCTCAACACATGTACTCTCTCCCTGAACCAAGCTCACGGAAGTGTTAGCTACCTGTTGCCAATATGAAATCCAACGCTCTACCGACACTGTTTTTCAAGAGCCATTCTTATTAATATCTTCTGAAAGTATGATTTTAAGTAAAACTACCGCTCTATGTATCACTCAACAAACACATCCACTCAGCAAATATTCAAATAAGGCTATTCTTAGAGATTGTGAGACTATTTGACACTGTTTATAACCTAATTAACTTCAATTGCAACAGATAAAAAGGTTTAACAAAATAATAAATTTCAATGGCACACCCATCATATATTCATAAAACTGCTACCACTCATTGATTTAAAATATAAAAATATACCCACTGATTCAAATAGTTGAGCACTTATGCTTACAGCACACTATAATATTATTAACTTAAAATCTAAAAATGTTTTCATATCATTAACATTTAAGCATTTGTTTACAACATACTGCTTTAAACTAAAAAGAATCTTACATATTTAAACTTATATAAAAAATTTACTCCAATAAATAGGGTACATTAAAAATTTCAACAGCAGTTCTCTATGTAACTGACTTTTTTTAGTATTTAACATTTCCACAGGAAACGTCACATAATTAAAATTCTGTACTGTTAGTAAGTCATTAAAGATAATGTCAAGTAGATAAACACTAATTAGAGTTGTACATTACATAGGTTTGCATACACCAGAAATCAAGTCATATCCCTGGAGATTTAACATAACAAGTGTTACATCAGTCTGTTTCTTAATAGAGCAATCCTATAAAAAGAAAGATTATTGTGAGGAACACTGCTCCGTTATCAAGTTGACCTGCCCACAATAATTAAAAGTTCTAAACTATTTTACTCTTAGACAACCACAATTTGTATACTATTGCATCACTGGTGATGGGAACCTTAAGAGTAGCAACCTACACCCAACTCCACAGTTCTCTAGAAACAATACCAATCTTACAATAAGGACATGTTCTTACCGGAGCCAACAGGTGATCCCGATATTGCTGTTGAGTAACGAATTTTTTATTACATACTACACAAACAAAGGAACTAAAGAACGGTCCATGAAGTGTAATTGTTGGATCACAAGGAGAGTGATCAAACCTGTTGGCAAAAAAGAGATAATGTTAGGAAGTCTGTATTCTGGGAAACAATTAGGCTGCTGCTTCATTTAACCTAAAAATATTGTCCCGCGTGTGTCGAAGCGATATTACAGCAGGTAAGGTGCTTGCCTTGCACGCAGCAGACCCAAGATCAATCCCCAGCATCCCATACGGTCCCCAAGCATGCCAGGAGTGACTCCTGTGCACAGAACCAGAAGCCGGCCCTAATCACTGCCGGTGTGCCCCCCACACCTGATCCCCCAGAATCTTCCCTGGGCCAGGGAGACAATATGGCGGGTAGGGCATCTGCCTTACATGTGGTCAACCTGGGTTTGGTCCCAGCACCCTATATGGCCCCCGGAGTCCTCCAAGAGTGATCCCTGAGTACAGCGCCAGGGGTAAGTCCTGAGCACAGCTGGATGTGGCTCCAAACCCCACATAAGCACTCTAAAAACTTTATATTTATCTCAAAACCGTCAAAAAATAAAAGTGCATCCTAGTCAAGAACTACAGAGCAAGGCCAGTGACGCAGCTCAGAGGTAGCACACCTGCCTTGCCTGTGTGAGGCCTGTGTCTGTCCCTGGCATGAATAAAGAGGAGAGGAGTGGAGGAGGAGGAGGAAAGAGGGGGGAAGAGAGAAGGAATGGAGGAGGGAAAAAGGAAGAAGACGACGAGCAGAGCAGAGAGAACAAACACAAAATGGCTCCCATACTCCCCACAACCCTTTCAGACAACGCCCCCACAGCCCAATATTCCATAAAAGTACCCAAGATCCGATGTAATGGATAGAAGGAGGTCTCATTGTGGAATGGTGAAAAGCACAGAGACCGTAATTTTTCTTGGTTTCTTTACTATGAAATCCCAACTTTTTCCTTTCTTTTCTTTTTGGGCCAAGCCTGGCGGTGCTCAGAACTTATTCCCGGAAGTACTGAAGGGACCAGATGAGACGCTAGGAATTGAACCCAGTGTGCAAGGCAAGTGCCCTACCCATTGTACTATCGCTCCGGCTCCCTCGAATATTTTTACACGAACCACTGGAAGTCGGCATTATATCAAATTTCTGGCACACTTCTATTTCCTATAAATAGCTTTTCCTTCATTTAACCGTTAAACAAATTGGTGCCACTTTCAGTTGCTTTGAAGACTTTTTAAAAATAGATTTTAAAAGTAAGATATAATGTGCGCTATTGTGATATACGTAGAAAGAATACTGAAACTTCTTCTAAAAGCTTTCCTTGGCAGCCGAAGACATAAGTAGGATGAGAAAACTGAAAAAGATCATGGTTCAGAGGCCCAAGCTCTTACCTGTCATCTTTAAACGACGTAGAAAGGGGCTTTGTAGAGAAAATGTTTAATAGCTTTATTCTTAAGTTTATCATCTCTCTTTTCAATCGCTACTATTGAAAATTCAGTCAACTCTGGGGAGACGCCACTGCTGAGGCATCACAGGTCGGCCCCGTCTCTGGTCTGAGATCTCTGGCGCCTCCTTGGCATGGGGGTGGGCTGAGTCCCTACTGACAAAAGCACCAACATCACACCCCACCTGACCTCCAACTGGCACACAAATTGGGGGCTGAAGTGAGGGAACAGCAGGCAGGGCGCTTGCCTCACATGGACCAACCTGGATTCGATTCCCAGCACCCCCTCTGGTACCCTGAGCACTCCCAGGAGTGGTCCCTGAACTCAGAGCCAGAAGTAAGGGCTGAGCACTGGCAGGGTGGCCCAAACCACGCAAAAACAAAACCAAACCAAAAAACCCAAAACGGTTCATTAGCCAGCCCCACGACTAATCTCAGAGACACCAACTGCTCAACCATCCCAGCCCCACAGCCCCTGGAGAGCACGGCCACGTGACGTGCAGCTACACATCTCCAAATTTCACAGGACTGACAGTTCAGGCCACGGCAAATCAGATGGCAAAGCTGTGTAGAAACCCCTGAGCTCAATGATCGGGGGAGAAAAACACAAAACAAAACGAAACACAACGAAACACAACGAAACACAGAATGATCAATTAGCACCTAAGAGCCTAATAAATCCTCGGACAATGACTTTAGCAACACCATGGTGAGATACGTATCATAACAAGCAATATAACGCGCAAATTATTTTCTGTGCTTGTTAAGCTGGCAGGCTTTGTGGGGGGAGGGTGGCGAACGGAGGACAGTGCTGGTGGGACTGGTACCGGAACACTGAATACCTCAGACAACGGATCAAGGAGAACTTTATAAATCACAGTCTTTAAATAAAGATCCAAACATTAAAAAAAAAATAGTAAAGTAGGGGCTGGAGCGATAGCACAGTGAGTAGGGTGTTTGCCTTGCACGCGGCTGACCCGGGTTCGATTCCCAGCGTCCCATAGGGTCCCCCGAGCACCGCCAGGAGTAATTTCTGAGTGCAGAGCCAGGAGTGACCCCTGAGCATCGCCGGGTATGACTCAAAAAGGAAAAAAAATAGAAAGAAAAAAATAGTAAAGTAGTAAGATGCACCTCACAGAGTGTTCCTTCACTCTAAATTTTCCTATGTTTGGTTCACCTTTAGCAATTAATTTTATAAGGCCAAATTAGATTTCTTTAGGCTTAGAGAAAATACCCATGCTCTTTATCTCTGAAATTTACATTCTTTAAAACAGATCCAACTACATACAAATGCTCATCATCTATTCAGGATCTGAGCTATATTAAGAAAAAAATACATATTTAACGACGACAACACTTTTAAAGACAGGATGTTGGTGCTGGAGCGATAGCACAGCGGGTAGGGTGCTTGCCTCGCACGCGGCCGACCCGGGTTCGATTCCCAGCATCCCATAGGGTCCCCTGAGCACCGCCAGGAGTAATTCCTGAGTGCAGAGCCAGGAGTGACCCCTGTGCACCGCCGGGTGTGACCCAAAACGCAAAAAAAAATAATAATAATAATTAATTAAAAAAATAAAGACAAGATGTTACTATAAAATCTGACTTCATCACAAGCAACGTAAATTAGAAATAATCCAATCAAAACAGCATGAAACAATGAGTCAGGAAATATAAACTCACAATTGCAAAGACAAGAGTGTCACACTTTATGAAATTATTCTCCCTCTGTGGAATGTCATCACTCACTATCTGTAATATTCTTACCTTTTCAAATGTCCTAAGAGAAGGTGTCCGTTATCAAACTCCTTGTTACAGTGCATTATGGGACACGAAATAGGTCTCTCGGACACCCGCATTGGGCCTCCTCTTCGGAATGAGCTTCTGGCTCCAGAATTCAGAGCAGTTGTTTTTATTCCTGTATCATTGGGACATTGGAATATAAATTCTTAAGTCCTCTATGTATCTTTTAAGCCAGTACATAAAATTGATACTTGGATAAAAATTATAATGCATCATCAACCTAGTGTTCCAAATTGTAACTGTTTGCTTTCATTCAACTGTCACTACATTAATCATCTGAAATCAACTTTCCCCCCCCCAAAAAATAATAATAATAATTAATAAAAATAAAATCAACTTTCCACGTTTAACAGACCAAATACATTACGGAAGCAGCTGTTCTACAAAATCCTTTCTTCTCTTCATTCATATGCTGTCAAATTTTTCTTCTTTGGGCCACACCCGGCAGTGCTCAGGGGTTACTCCTGCGAGCACACTCAGGACTTACTCGAGGAATTATTCCTGGAATTACTCAGGTACCATCACTCTGGCGCCTCTGTTAGGGACCTTAAACCCATCGAGAATGAAATACTGCCTCGGTAAAAATACGACTGAACTGGAGGGGTCATGCTAAGCAAAATGGTTCTTAAGGAAGAGAGTCAAATACTACCTCGTGATTGGATTGACATGTGGGGTATAAGACAGCAAAGCGAGGAAAGAACAAAACCGGGTGAAAACGATCCCTGGGACACTAACAGCAGAAATGAGGTTACAGAAGAGGAGGACTCCAAAGGAAGAAAGGAGACCCCTCCAGTATGGTGGAGGCATATTAGTACTTTGATAGTCCGTGCACAATGGCAACATATATTTATGAGAGGAGTTAAACTATACCCCAGAACAGTACCGTGAAACAACATCAACTCAATTTAAAAAAATTAGCTCACACACACACACACACACACACACACACACACACACACACAGCAACTTTGAGTGGCATACAATGTAATATTTAGATGCTGGGTTATAATGATGCAGGTCTGAAACTCATACTCCATTATCATGTAATATCACGGTCCTTCTATCACGGTCCTCCCATTGTTCATCGATTTGCTCGAGCGGGCCCAGTAACGTCTCCATTTTTGAGACTTGTTGTTACTGTGTCTGGCATATCGAATACATCTCGGGGAGCTTGCCAGGCTCTGCCGTGCGGGCGAGATCCTCTCGGTAGCTTGCTGGGCTCTCCGAGAGGGGCGGAGGAATCGAACCCGGCTCGGCTGGGCTGGCTGCACACAAGGCAAATGCCCTACCACTGTGTTATCGCTCCACCCATCAAGTATTACTTGGCTAAATTTAAGTGTTTCGTGTACATGTTAGCAACAAATAAAACAGAATTTCTGTCTTAGGGAAGCGGGGTAACCTTAAAGTTACTGGACGTCTAAAGAATACCTGACATCTTTAGCCACTGGTCCACACACAGTCTTGCTGCTTCTGTGTCAGAATGTCCTCGAATAAATTCCAATTCTTGTAATCCATGAGCATGCTGAAAATCAATAGTTTCCTAAAGATATTAAGGGAAAAAAAATTCAATGCACCTATTATTACTAACTTGGTTTCCTAGAAAAAAAGTCTGAAACACCAATGATCAGAACATACCGACTGGACTTGATGACTAGAGCATCAAGAACTCGATCCCAAAATGGTGAGTCAAAACAAAGATTCATGCTCTGTGATACTGACACCAATATTTGATCTATATTTGCACAAAGTTTGTTATAATTTACATCTCTGACAACAGAGTAATGTTTAAGAAAATCATGATATTCAGTGCAAGTAATTAAAAATGCTACTAAAGAGGGTTGGAGAGATAGCAGAGCGGGCTGGGCGTTTGCCTTGCACGCGGCCGACCCGGGTTCGATTCCCAGCATCCCATAGGGTCCCCTGAGCACCGCCAGGAGTGACACCTGAGTGCAGAGCCAGGAGTAACCCCTGTGTATCGCCAGGTGTGACCCCAAAAAGCAAAATAAATAAATAAGTAAATTAAAAAACAAAAACTAAGGAGTCGGGAGATAGAACAGTGGGTAATGTGCTTGCTTTGCATTCAACAGACAGGAGTTCAATCCCCAGCATAGTACATGGCCCCCTGAACTCCACCGGAAGTGAGGCCTGAGCACAGAGCCAGGAGTAAGCCCTGAACATCACCAGGGGTTGTCTCCCTGGCCCCCCCAGAAACCACACAAGTGTAATCTATCCTCTACTAGACGACAAAAACATATAAATTCCTGTTAAAATAACCAATGTAATAAGGAATAAAAAACACAAATGTTACAATTATTTTTTTCAAAAGTGTTATCCCAACCAAAAGATCATCTCTAATGAAGATCATCCCTAAAGAATTTCTTACATTTAGATTACAGCCAAAATTCTACAAAAGCAAAGTGACCAACTGAAATTCAAACAGTGACTAGAAGATCTCAATTTTCATTTTTAAATTCCTAGTATGATGTTTCTTTCTTATCCAGATTTTCAATACTCAATTCCTAGTAGGCATTTGTCAGCATTTAAGAGACTTCTAAGAGTAATTTCATTTGGAGCCTTCTGCCGTAAGTCAGGAAAAGATTTATATCATGTAAGATCTAAATTAGGCTTCGTTTTCCATATAACAGTTCTTCTACAACCCTAATTCAAATTTCCTCCATAATAGATTTAATCTAAAGGAATGAGCTAAGCATGAGAAAGCATCCTGGTTTTATTTGGCAGAAAATAACCTTTCAACAGTTTACAGCTGCAAGAAACTCTGATAAACTTCACTAGTGATAAAAATCATCCGAAACTCTTAGTGTGCATCTGATGAGAGATATCATGATTTCTAATTATCAACAACAAAGTCTACTTAATTTTTTTTCCATTTATGTAGAACAAACATGGTTAGAATTTGACCGACTACAAGCAAAGATATAAAAACCTAACACACTACTACGACTAAATGGGTGCGCTTTCTAGGGTGCGTGCAAAACTTGGGTCAAATTACACATTTAATTGAAAGTCTCTCTCTTGACTGAAAACGATCCTACCACTTTCGATGGGATCAACGCAAGTCGCATACCCGGAATGCTCTGTTCTTCTCTTCTTTCTGCTGTTTCTCCACTTCGACATGGCGGGCTAGACGAGCCAGAGTTAAGGCCACTTTGTCCTTCTGATGGTCAACATGGTCTTTAGGTTTAACGTTATTCTAGAATTCGGGGGGGAAAAAAATTCCACGCCTTTTAGCAAACAGAGCTGACCTTCAGATAATGTACCCATTTATTACAGTTGCTGTGCTGGGCAAGTATTTATTTCTGAAATTTGCCTTGTAGACAGGGGATGTGGCTCAGTGGTCCACTGCCTGCCTCCATCTCCAGCACCACAATACGTCAACAAACGCCCTCCTCTTGTCTGTCCGGGGGGTATTTCGTACATCAACCCATCGCCCGCCAGCATCTTGAATTTTCAAGAAATTAAACAGCTGCTAGGGCCAGAAGGTAAAATCTGCCAGTGCTCTGCTACCTGAATGGAACTGGAGAGTATCATGCAAATAAGCAAAATGAGTCAGAGGAAGAAAGAAAAGCCACCTCACTCTCTCGTGAAAGAACAAAGAATGACCAAGAGGGAAAAAGGAAAAACCCTCAGATCTGCAGACTGTGACTGAGTCTGGCTGGGGGTGCTAATGAAAACAGTCAAAGCCTACTGGCTTGGGGCTGGAGCGATAGCACAGCGGGTAGGGCGTTTGCCTTGCACGCGGCCGACCCGGGTTCGATTCCCAGCATCCCATAGGGTCCCCTGAGCACCGCCAGGAGTTACTCCTGAGTGCAGAGCCAGGAGGAACCCCTGTGCATTGCCAGGTGTGACCTAAAAAGCAAAAAAAAAAAAAAAAAAAAAAAAGAATACTGGCATGATGAATGTGGGGCAGGAACATTTCATTCATAATACAGCAACATTAACCTCAAAAAAAATTTAACATCTGCTAGGAAATTTACTAGATGAAATTTTTCAACTTTACTCTGCAATCATTTAGATATTGAAAAGCTTTCATAGGGTGCTTTGTTCTGAGTTCATAGGGTATTATCAAGCTCATTTTCAGAAACACAAAACAATACAAATATTGTCGCTCTTATTCTTCACCAGTGACACGATAGTATTTAATTGAGAGAAACTGATTAAACAGAACAGATCTAACAACTTTCAGTTTTTGGTCCAATGTGCAAAAAGCTGAGAAGCTGTCAATCTGGTCTAACAAGTGAAAAAAAAAAAAAGCTGAACTGAAAAGGCAACAAAATCTTAGACCCCTGAGAGAGAAATGAGGTCCCAGTGTGAACTGCTGAATCAAAGGGTTGAGTAAAGGAGCCGTATGTAACAGAGGAAACGGTGGAGCAGAAATCGGTGAGTGAAAACCCCAAGAGCAACTCGGGAGGAAAATCTGAATCGAAAATCGTGTTCGAGCTCAGGATGGTGCGGTCTGTAAGTCTGAAACTCCAGAAGCTCCAGAGCCTTCTCCAACGAGGACGATTCAAACATGAGGCAAAAATAAAAAATAAAAAATAGGATGTACCAGGTTCTATTAAAAAGCAAGAGTCCACAAATGAGGCGAGAGAGGTATTACAAGGGTTAAGTTATTGCCTGGCTGGTCCTGGTTCGACCCCAGTAACACACGGTTCTCAAGCACCCCAGGAGCCAGGAGCCATCCCTGGCACCACTGGGTATGGCCCAAATGGTGTTGATGAGGAGGATGAGGATGAGGAGGAGGATGAGGATGATGATGAAGATGATAGAGACTAAAGGGCTAGTACGGCAGTAAGGTTTGTCTTGCTTGTGGCTCACCTGGGTCCGCTCCCTGTGCACCACCAGGCGTAACAGGAGTAATTCCTGAGGGCAGTCAGGATCATCCACGCCTCACCTTTTGCCACTTCCCCCTTCCCGTCCCCCCCTAAAATAAAAGGGTAAGAATCCACAATGACACCAAATAACCCATTAGAAAATGCCACCCGGGGGGGGGGGGGGGGCTGGAGCGACAGCACAGCGGGGAGGGCGTTTGCCTTGCACGCGGCTGACCTGGGTTCGACTCCCAGCATTCCACGCGGTCCCCTGAGCACCACCAGGAGTAATTCCTGAATTATGAGCCAGGAGTAACCTCTGTGCATCACTGGGCGTGACCCAAGACCAGCAGAAGAAAGAAAAAAAAGTAAAAGAAGATGCTATCTATTCTGTTATTTGGATGGAGATGCTCAGGAAAGCCTTTTATAGACTGGGAAAAAGAGAATCCTTATTTATCTATAGCTAAGATCACTCCGAATCAATTTTCTCCCATAGCTATTCAAAGCTGAAGCAATTTTGTGGGATCTTTACAAAAGTAAGCAGAAAGTTGTGAGGCCAAGAACAGCTGAAAAGACAGAGCCAAGTTGGACCACCATAAAATAACTTTCTTGGAACTACCTTTTTTTTTTTTAATAGAATCACGATTACGTTTACAATAACAATGTCTAACACATAATAATTCATGACTGAAAGAGATGAAAGAAGACGAAACAAAGGGTATCACTGGGTAACTTCTCCCTGTATCCTGTGTTCATACCAGACAGAGAAGTTCATAAGTTCATGTGCATTTTCTATACATTTTTATTTAAAACTTGAAGGAAAAATATGAATAAATTTGAGTGGTGTCTAGGATGCTAGTTACACTTAGAGATATATATCTTTGTAAGTTAAGCATATAAAATAAAACACCGGGGCTGGAGAGATAGCACAGCGGGTAGGGCGTTTGCCTTGCACACGGCCGACCCGGGTTCGATTCCCAGCATCCCATATGGTTCCCTGAGCACCGCCAGGGGTAACTCCTGAGTGCAGAGCCAGGAGTAACCCCTGTGCATTGCCGGGTGTGACCCAAAAAGCAAAAAAATAAATAAATAAAATAAAACACCAATGGGATCAGAGCTATAGTACGATGGGTAGGGCGTTTTGCTTTGCATATAGCCTGGGCCGAATCCCTGGCACCCTAGATGGTCCCAAGTCCACTTAAGCACAGAGCCCTGGCACTTCTGAGTGAGGCCCCAAAACAAAACAACAATTTGCGGGGGGGGGGGGGGGGCGGAGGAAGGTGAAAATAAGCAAGGGAAGTTATTTTGTTCTAAAGAGCAGTGCTCATCATTTAATATACCTTGGCAGAATTACAGCAAAAATTCCAAGCGAGGAAGTAAGGCGTAACTTGGGCAAGAAAGGAACAGGGCTTTCTCAGACTGTGTTGGTGGAGCCGTAGTGAAAAAAAGGAAGTCTCACCTATTCTTAGTGGGTATGTTTGGTTCAGGCTCTATGGAAGTCAGGACGGAGATCTCTTAAAAAAATAGGAACAGAACTTCCATAAAATCCAGCAATACATCTTAGCCGATCCGAGTTTGATTCCTCACGCCCCTCTCGGAGAGCCCGGCAAGCTACGGAGAGTATCTCACCCGCGCGGCAGAGCCTGGCAAGCTCCCCGTGGCGTATTCGATATGCCAGACACAGTAACAACAGAGTCGCGGCCGCGCGACATTATTTAATTCTTAAACCCAGCTGTAGAGAGCAAATCATTTCACAATGCTTTTTCAGCATGTCTGATTTGGGGGGGGGGGGTCGTAAACTCTAAATAATAACGGTGCATCTTTTATTGTAACAATAAATCTAGTAGATAGAGTGTTAACTAGAACTCATCTGCCTCACAGGAATTGGGAGGGGTGGGAGGTGGGGTTCTATTGGGGCTCGCGGTTAAAAATAAGTATTGGTAAAGGGAAATGTGTTTGATATTTACATGACTGAGACCTAAACCCGAAAGCTCTGTAACTTTTCCCACAGTGATTCAATAAAGAAATTATAAAAAAAAAAAAACAAAGTCTCCAATGGAGACGTTACTGGGCCCGCTCGAGCCAATGGATGAACAACGGGAGGACAGTGACATGAAATGTTAGCATCCGTCCCCAAAACATCCATTCCAAAAGATAGATAGATGCATTCCTACATTCTCTGCAGCACTTAGTACAACAGCCAAGATACGGAAATAACCCAAATAACCCAACTATGGATGACCGGATCGAGGAGTCGTAGAACATGTGCACGACCAAATACTATGCAGCCTCCCAAAAAAGAACAAGAAAGAAGAAAAATCACACAATTTTCTGTGACACGCTGAGCTGAAGGAAGTCAGAAGGGACACAATACAGACACAATACAGAACGGTCTCACTCACCGGTGAGATTTAAAGATGCACGGCAAGCTAGCAACAAAGGAGAACTGACTAAAATGAAAACTGAGTTTATGTGGAAAAGGGGGGGAGGTATGGGCTAGGGGGTGGATGTTGAAAGGAAGGAGCACTGGGCCCTTAGGAGAGAGGTGGGTGCACTGGAGATGGGTGTGATGCTGGGATTACGTACAGGAAAAACCATCCTGAACAATACTGCTGACCGCAGTACGTCCATCAATGACTACAAAAGAAAATGAAAAAGAAACTGGCTTTTTGGTTTGCGGGCCATACCCACTGATGCTCGGGGTTTACTCTTAGGTCTGTGCTCAGGGGTCACTCCTGGCAGGGCTCAAGGGACCATACAGGATGCAGGGGATTGAACCCGGGCTGGCTATGTGCAAGGCAAGCACCCTACCTGCTCTACTGTCACTCCCGAACCGGGCTTTCTTAGATTTGATCTGTAATGGGTTTTTCAGTGGATGGGTCAAGTTGGTGTAATTCAAAGGGCAGTTTAATGTGAGTCTCTTATTTTGTCATTTTGATGTTTAAAATACCACTTAAGGGGCTGGAGCAATAGCACACTGGGTAGGGCGTTTGCCTTGCACGAGACCGACCCGGGTTCGACTCCCAGCATCCCGTATGGTCCCCTGAGCACCGCCAGGGGTTATTCCTGAGCGCAGAGCCAGGAGGAACCCCTGTGCATCGCCGGGTGTCACCCCGCAAAAAAAGAAAAAAAATGGTTTCATAAAAAAAAAAAATACCACTTAAATACTCTTTCAAGACACACGATTTGTTTGAGGCCCAAGGAGGTAAGTATAATTAGGGGAGTTAAAAGGAATCTCAAGTGCAGAGAGAGACAACACAGCAACTAAGGTCCTTGCCTTGCATGCAGGGGCCTAAGCCCTGAGCCAAGTATGGCCCCAAAACAGAAGACAAAAGAAAAACTGAAAACAGAAGCCCCTATTTTGTCACGAGGGCACTGAAAG